TAAATCTAGACTAAAATCAAAATTAAAATCAAAATAAAAACGAAAATAAATAGCGATGAGCTATTAGTCCTAAAAATACATATAAATTTAAAAAAATTTTTAGCGAAAAAGTTTCAATTGTCTGTTTCGGGGAAACGCGTAATGGGGTTAGCTTGATTCGACGTTCAAATAAATGAAATTTCCCTTGAAAAGCCTGTTTGGAAGTCGAATTGGGCTAATTTACCATTTTCCGCTTACTTTTTATCTTTTTCTGTTTTTTTAATGTTTTACATGTCTAATGGTTTGATTTTCATATGTATTAATTTTTTAAAACGTGTTGAACCTTTTGGAGCAGCAGCTCTTGGTAACTTTTAGGCGAGCTTACTGCAATTTTTATATTTTACTTATTTTGCAGCATATTGCGCAAGATGTTTTCTAGACCAAAATTGGTTTTTTTAAAATTATAATTACTACTTTGCTTGATAAATATATATATAATATATATATATATCAGTTTTGAATAGTAAAATTGATAGATTAATGACATACACAAAACTGATACATAATCAACGTATCAAATATCGGATTTGTAGCTCATCTTAAATAAGTTTCTTGTCTAGATAAATATTAACAAATCTTCTTAGATAGCAGAATGGTTTTAACTTTCAAATTTACTATTTTAGGTAAACAGTTCTATTTTAATTATAAAAATTATCTTTATTTAATCTAAAAATTGGACTTTTAAGTCGTTCTAAATTCACACTAATATTATTGCAATATATTCCCCGTATTAAACTTTCTATTTTTAATTATTGAAGTTATTTTAAGGTTATTTAACTTGTTACAAATTCCATATTTTAATACTAGAAACGTTTAAATATTTATTCTGTTTTCCACCTGATGTACTTTGGCATACATTAATTTCTAATACACATTTAATTAATAAATTAATAATTATGAGCGTCAGAGCAGAATTTTCATAATTAACAAAAAAAAAAAAAAATTTTTTTAAATTAACTTCCTTATATTATATCCTGGGATTTCAGTTCCCTTTTAATCCATTCCTTTTTCACATATTGTTGCACTGTACTCAGTTTTCATGCATGTAGAATTTATATACTTTGTATTGTATTTATGCCAATTTATATTTAAAATGATAATTTTTACAAATTCTTGCATCACAACAACTCTAGTTAACAGAAGATGTTTTCTAACACCTTGACAAAGCTTAATCTTCAGCATGTAGCTTATTTTCCAACCTAGTTTCAGGCTGAATTATTTGTAAAATTAATTACTTGAAATTATTTGTTAACAAAGATGGTCGCTAAATCACGCTAATAATATTTCTAACTGTTGTAATTTATAATGCAACGAGTTCATGTGATTTATAATGTAATTCATTTATAATTTTTTCAGCAGTATTGAAATAAATAGCAGATACTCATAATAATATACATTTAGATTACAATAATTTAGACTGCCATTGCCTTCTTCACTCATGCTTTTATGCTACATTCCTAAAATTTCATAATGGCATATAGGTAAGTTTAACTCATTCACCAAACATGTAAATCTCTAAGTCAGCCCACTTTTGTTCTTACGTGTGCTGTATCTTCTATTTTCTTTGATATATTTTTCAGCCTAATTTCAAAAGGTCTTGTGGAAAAGTCACTAAACATTGGTAGTTCGACCCGAGTTTCTAGTCCCAGTGATCCCCCAGCTCTTTCTTTTTTTGTATTTATTTACTATATAAAAGTGTAGCGTAAAAATTTTAGTTCATGAAGTAAAAATACTTTTTTAATTTATTCTTTAAAAGTATTGCAAAAAGTTTTACCTTTACCTTAGCATATCTTTTTACAAATCCCTCTAATAAGAAAAAATTAGGAAAGAAATTAACTCAGTTTCGGTGATTGATACCTCGGTGCAAATTATATGTAACATTTTTCCAAAAGCATAGAGTTTATATGGATATCAATAAATTAAGGATTATTTCTCCATCTAATTTTCTTAACATGTTTATTCCAGAATTTTCTTTTCACACTGTAGCGCTTAACTTTATGGAGTTTTCTATAATCATTCAGTTTCTCTAAGCCATGGCAGCTTTGCATACCTTCTGACAAGTTGTTATATTTTTAACCACTGTATTTTAATTCCTGTTGGCTATCAGTACATTATTCACTTGTTTCACAAGCGCAACTTTTATTTTATACGCAAATCTACGTAAAATAGCATTAAAATTTCACTTATGCGGAGCTCCTGATCGATTGCTTGTTTTAGATTGAATGAAATTAAGCTTAATGTTACTGTTAATTAATTTGTTATTAATTTAATTGTATTTTTCTAACTAATTATATGTTCAGATATTTCCAAGTACATTACACAAACTTTTGCATCCTAATTTTTAGTTTTTTGGTTTTAAAAAAATAAGCTTTTATTTATTGAGAGGCCTGATTGATTATATTAATTTGCAGTACTGTTTATCTAATTCTTTTCTTCTAGATAAATTTAGAAAACTTCTTAGCATAATAATTTAATTTTTTTTACAATTTATACGTCAGTGATCCAAACGCATAGTAATGTTGTTATAATAGATTTCATGCTAAGCTTTTTTTTTTAAATTTAACTGTTAATTTCTGCAAACATTTACATGATTGCTTTAATTAACGAAAAAATTTTCTAGCACACCTTTAACACACACTTTGATATGGAATAATGTTTTGCATTGTATTAAATTTTCCAGTTCTAGTTCAGACATCTTGACTATTATTGATGTAATTTATTAAAAATAAATTTGTATGCTTTATAATTATTTAGTTTATGATATTATTATCATAAATGAAAGATGTTTGTAATGCTAATATGTATGTTTACCAATACCTTTTATTTTCTTTGTTAGCTCTCGCATTTATTACTGTTATTCAAGTAATTAGCCTGTTTGTTAGATATTTTTTACTTGTTCTTGTGATATGTAATTCTATTTATTTATTTTTATTTTTCTCTTGGCTACAATTGGCACAAAAAGTTAAATTGTAACCCTGTAGGCAGCAGGGGGTAAAAAAATTTGATCGGCGCAGTTGGACTATAGCTCGACCCAGGGGGGATTTTCATTAGCGCAGTTGGAGTACACTCCCTATTAGCACTACCCACCGGGGCTCCTCTGATTAATTTCTCGAGAGGGGGATCTTGGACCTTGATGAATGTATAAGATTACGGTTTCGCTTCTTCCGCAAATGAGAATCAAAGATTAATGTATATTTCCTATCTCTTATCTATATCAGCATATATTAATACAGTGTGCCTCAATTTGTGAAACTAATACAAATATAATAAATTATGATTGGTTAAATAAATAAATAAATAAAATGTTTAATTAATAAAAAATTAATTAATGCTAAAATAAAAATAAATTCTGTAATTTATTTACTTATTTATTTTTCCTGATGTGCTCTCGCACTGTATGGATTTATGATTTTGTCTGATGCTGTTTTCTGAAAAATGTATGAATATGTTGGAAACCGCAATAGTTGATGTTACTTTAGTTAATATACACTTTTGCCTGATATTAAATGTCTTGTGATGCTGTATCTCAAGGTAATGGCAAACATATCGCCTAGTTTCCCATGTTAGAGGAAAAAATATTAAAAAAATTTTTTAATTTTAGGTTCCTTTCTTAGCAAAAGTTAGCTTCTAAACAAGACTTAAACTGTTATGTGACTAGACCCCCCAAAATTTATATTTTTTATATTTATTTTCCCCCATCTTTTCATCTATTTAGCTTTGCCAAACACACTCACTACTACACCTGGAAGACACTATTTAATGTAAATGTAAACGGCTTCCTTCCGTTTTGACTACACTCATGGGCACAATCGTATTTTAGGGAATTTCTCTTACTTCTTTTCCTTTCCTTCTATAGGCTTCTATTTTCTTCTTTTTCTCTCCATTACTTTTGAGCCATTTATTTTCAATTTTATTTTGTCCCATCTTTTCTTCCTGGCCTTTCGAACTAGTATAAAATATACGAGGTTCCTTTTTACTTTCCTCTGAAATACGAAATTGTCCTCTTTTCTGTATATCTTTCCTTCGCACCTTAGCTTAATTTTTCGCCCATTGGTGCAAAGAGACTTAGCGGGTGCAACACAACATGTTTGTGTCTAATCCAGCGTTTCCCAACCTTTTTTGGCCAAGGCACACTTGTCGCGGGGAAAAAAATCACGAGGCACACCACCATTAGAAAATGTTAAAAAATTAACTCTGTGCCTATATTGACTATAATAAAGTAATTCTCTTGAATAGGAATCAAATAAGCACAAAGAAAGTATTTTATAATTACTTTATTATGAAATATTAAGTAAACAGAATAGTGAAAAATTATAAAATACTTTCAGTCCGAAACCTGGGCCTGTTTGGCTGAACACACAGCTGATATTCTGGCTGGAATCGAAGAAAGACACACACGTAGCTTTTCGTCAACAGTTCTCAGTCTCTCTCTGTATTTGGTTTTCACACAGATATGTAGTGGAAAAAGGGAGCAATGTCAAAATAGCTTTGTTTGCCAGAAGGGGGAACTCCTTGGCAGTATCCAACCAAAAACTGTCCAAAGGTAGATCAGCAAATCTTAGCTTGCAACCACGATTTTGTCTCAGTTCAATTAGTTCCTCCTGCTCCTGTAAAGTCATTTCCTTTCCAACAACTGATGCTGAGCTATAAGGGTCCCTAACCCAGTCAAGGCATTCAGTGGAGACTGAAGAGAAATAAAATGACAACTTCTCCTCAAGAGTTTTTAAATGCTTAACTATTATCTAACACAGTGCAGCAGTGTGAACACCTTGCCATTGCATGGTGAGTGTGAACATTTCAAGATTGCCACTTTCCACGTGTTGATACCAGAGTTGCACCTTTGAACGGAATCCATTTATTTTATCTGTACTTGTAAGCAGGTTTTCATTTCGGCCTTGCATTCGGGTGTTCAATTTATTCAGATGATGAAATATATCTGCCAGGTATGCCAGCCTTGCACATCACTCATCACTTGCAAGCTGCTTTGCATAATCTGACCCCTCATTTGTCAGAAACACTTTAAGTTCCTCCCGCAGCTCATACACACGAACCAAGACCTTGCCACGCGACAACCACCGGACCTCCGTATGAAACAGCAAGGTTTTATGCTTTGCTCCCATCTCCTCACACAAAGCTGCAAATATGCGACTTTTCATGGGTCGTGACTTTACAATGCTTACCATGCGCACAATATCATCCAACACATTAACTAAGGCTGATGGTAAAGTCTTGGTTACGAGGGCCTCGCGGTGTAAAAAACAATGCGTAATAATCACATCTGGATTTCTTTCCTTCACTCTGTTTACAAAGCCTTTGGTGCGCCCGACCATGGCTGCAGCTCCATCGGTGCAGACACTTGTGCAGTTTTCCCACTTAAGTCCTCCTTGTTCAAGGTATTCTGATGTGACCCGAAAAATTTCTTCTCCTGTTGTTTTTTCTGGCAATACCTTGCAAAAAAAAGAAGTTTTCTCTAATTGCATCACCATCAACAAAACGCACATTAGCTAAGAGTTGAGCATGTCCACTGATATCAGTAGACTCGTCAAGTTGCAATGCAAATTTCTCACTGATACGGATCTTTTCCAAAACCACACTTTCGATGTCTGCAGACATGTCATTAATACGTCTGGAAATTGTGTTGTTTGAGAGAGGGACTTTGGCTATTTCCTTTGCTGCTTCAGGTCCGAGCATCTCCTCTACAATAGCTTTGCAGGCAGGAAGTATTAATGTCTCTGCCACAGTGTGCGACTTTTTTTGTCTTGGCTATAAGTTCAGCAACTTGATAGCTAGCTTTAAGAGCTCTTTCATTTACCTTTGTTGTTTTTCTCATAAATTTGCCTGTTTCTCCATGTTGTCACGCAGGCGAACAAAATAGTCCACATTCTTGTTTTGAAGCAAAGGGTGTTTCGTTTGGAGATGGCGTTTAAGTTTGCTTGGGACCATAGCACTGTTAGCTAGCTTTTCACCACACACCACGCACAGTGGAGTTGGTTTGTGTTCATCTCCAGTGAAAGTAAATCCAACTGAAATATAGCTTTCGCTATATTGCCTTGCGCCAGAGAATTTAACCATCTTTGCTTTCTTTTGACCCCCACTTATACTCGGGCTCTCATCTGGCTCCAGATTTTGTTCAGAGTCCAGTTCTTTCCTTTTCAAAAACTTGTCCATCACACTGCAGTATCAGTGTCTCTCTCCTCACAGCAGCCGTTGTCTCTCTGACACTGGTGTGAGGCGTCTGCCTGCGTCTCATGGGGGCGGGGACACGGCGGACACTTGTCAAGATTGGCAGGGGGAGGAGTTATAGCACTGCACAGCGCCGTGACCACTATGACACTGGCGGGGGGAAGTGACGGGAGGAGTTATAGCGGGCGAACAGCACCGTGACCACCCAGACCCGGCGGCACACCACGGTGCTTCAGACGGCACACTGGTGTGCCGCGGAACAGCGGTTGGGAACCGCTGGTCTAATCAATTATAAAGAAATAGCCCTTTTTTCTTTGGCTTTAGATACAACTGTTGAAAGATACTCACTGAAACTTACTATCAAACTATTGGAAGGACTTTATGAAATCTATTTTTACATAGACTTGACCTCTTAAACAAACAAACAAAATTGCGGATTTACCAGCTTATTTTTGGCAGATTGCACATTGGGAACTTTAAATGGCATTTCCTCAAATGCCCTTCAGATTTTCACTAACGGCAGTAAAACATGGGAATTGCGGTAGTGTAGTCTTCATTAATACAATTATTAATAGTTTTAATTTTAAGACCAGAAACCCTGATCACTGTTCTGTTTTTATTCTGAGCAATTGAAGAGAACTTTAAGGTTGTATGCACTTGCACTGCCTACAAAAATACCTGGATTTTGACTGAGAGTCGTACTTCTATTCAGCATCTGCAAAATTGGCCTCGCATCGGTGATAAGACTGTACTCAGTACTTTTGGGTTTGCTGCCAAAACTCTATTCCCGTCATGATTTACATCTGCAATAGATTCCTTCACATATTGGCCTCAGTGGTAATGAAATGCCTAATGCACTGGCTAAAGAAGATGCTGCAATGAGGCAGATCACTTGCATTTTGACCTTTTTGGAGATCTGCTTCGAGAGTTAAATCTACTGCTGCTTCTTTTTGGAATTCTCCTCCGGCTCATGGTTGGTACTTTGGCAGGCAGTTGGGAGGTGCTATTGCTTTTATGGATAACCAGGCTCAGCAGACTACTTTGATGAAGCTCCTAAGTGGACACCTGAAATGCCTTAAATTTGACCGGGGAACTAAGATCTACCCCGTGTGTGAGAAATGTAATACTGATCATTTCACTCCTGATCATCTTCTCACCTGTTTGGGACTTGTAAAAGAGGACTTATTGAAAAGACCTACTTTCATTTGGATTTATTGACAATTCTTGAACTCATGATCTGGTCTAGCTTAATGGCTAAACAGTTAGGATAAGCAACAACAACAACAACAACATCGATACACTGAAAAGGAAACGCGGCCACATAAGGGCTGCCGTTACAAAAGTAATTGGCCGAATCGAAACTCAATATTAAGACCAGAAGTGAACGCAGAGGAACTAGAAATCTTCTTAGAACTCTTACATGAAAAATCAAACGAGTTAAAGCAAACAGATGCCGATATAGAAAAATAATAAATATAAAGGATCTAGACGAGGAATTAAATGATGTTGACGAATAATCCTGATAAAATAACTACATTTAAATACAAAGCTAAAAAAAATTGAAAGAAACTAATACAGAGTAACAACAACCAAGTGTGTTAAAAAACATTGAACAGTTAAGTGAAAATCTGATAGAAAAACCTTAAAATCGAAATGTAAATCTTCCTAGACTTATTATTCCCGAGTTTTATGGCGAGAGTTGTGAACAGCTGATATTTTGGAGCATTTTTTTTATCACCCATATAACCAAAATAAAACGCTTGACGTTGTAAATAAATTTAATTATCTGAAATCCTTTTGGAGCGGTAGTGCTTATAACACTATTGACGGATTCGATCTAACCCAAGAAAATTATGAAACTTCAGTAAAACTTGTCGCAGAAAGATTTAGAAATAAATTTGTATTGATAAACGCACATATAGATAAATTACTGAAAATATGCCCTTGAAAGTATTCTAATGACATTCAAAACTTCCATAAGTTATTCAGATATATACAAAAACATAATCGATGTCTTGAATCAACAAATATAACCTCAGAAACATATGGAGATTTATTAACACGTATAGCACTTAAAATCACCCGCAGATTTAGTTCTGGAATATAATAAAAAAGTTCGAAAATTAAATTATGATTTAAAACATATAGTGGAAATTCTTTCTAAACAAAGGAACGTACATTCTCAATGCTAGGTTCGCAGCCAAAGATCGCTCCGGCGCTGGAAAGACAACAAATTGAGTGAAACCAGACATATTGTTAAACACACAGCTGGAGAACTGATGAATATGAACTCCATGGCGAGTAGGGACTTTATGTACACTAAAGTTTGTGAAAATTGTGACTCCATAAAGGAATTACGCAAACTGAACCAAACTTACAGAAAATGTAGAGTGAGGTAAGCCCTGCAAATAATTAGAATTACAAAGCGATTGCGCATGCGTGGACTGAGAACAGGCCACTTGTTCCGTTTATATAAAGAACTATAAATATATAAAGGACTGCGTTGAAATCTGTTTATCGTCCTCTGTCTGCAGTGAACACTTAATTAGTGGTGAATGTGCCTCGTCAACAGCTGAGGTTGTCATACTAACAACTAAGGGAGTTCGAACGAGGCTACCTCGTCGGTATGCGAGAGGTTGTGCTTTAATCGTAGCCCGCACTCAGCGTAATGCCACAACAGTGATCCGTGTTTGGAAGAAATGGACAAAGGAAAACCAAACAAGGCGCAATCCTGGCAGTGGGGCAGCAATAGCACAAAGGTACGGAACAACAGACATCTCATTCGCATGGCTGTGACGGATCATGCAGCGTCCTCTCGTGTGTTGTTAGCACAACGTTGGAGCACAGCTACAGTTGATCTGTTGTCTAGTTCCACGGTTCGTCGCCGTCTGCTACAGCATGAACTGGGTGCAAGGGTTTATTTACGCAAGAATTTTCTGCCACTGAATCACAGTCGCCTTCGACTTCAATGCACACGAAAACATAGTGGCTTTTGACAATAAGCTGTTTTCTTCGATGGATCGGGCTAGAGTCTGGAGTACAGTGATGGAAGTTTACGTGTCAGACATTAAAGATGAGAACATCTGCTTCCACAGTGTGTTATCTAGCGTCATACCGCCAAAACGCCTGGCTACATGGTAGGAGAGCTAATGGGTATATAGCTAATATAGTAGGGGAGCTAATGGATGTCGATCCCATCTAGTGCAGATTGCGGGCAACCTGAACAGTGATCTTTAGATCAGGGATGTTTTGAAGCCAGAGGTCTTCCTTATTCTTCGACATATTCCGGGCGCTGCATTTCAGCAGGATAATGCCCGTTCACATGTTTCTCAGACTGCACAAGCCTTCTGTAGGGCATAACAGGTTTCGCTTCTTCCCCGGATATGTCGCCTTCTAAGCATGTCTGAGATTTCATTGGTCGGCGAGTCGCTCGAACAGCTAATATGACACACACTAAAACTGAACTCTGACGTTAAGTCGAAGCCATATGGAATGCCATTCCCCAGGATTACATTCAGCACCTGTATGACTCAGTGCCACGACATGTACAGGCTCTCATCGCTCAGTTTGGCGGACACACAAAGTACCGATTTCCGACGTTCGTTTCGTTTTTTTTGGGGGGGTGGGGGTCGTAAATTTGATCGCTTATTTGTACCACTATACGTGGTACAAATAATTTCATTTATTTCCGACTATACGTGGTACTATAATTTCATTTATTTCCGACAATTCCTTCATGGTGCTCCATTTTTCACAATCATTAATGTATTTTCTGAGAGTCTTCTGATCACGAATCTATAGCGTGTAATCAAGCATTTTTGTGTACTACTGAGCAAAAAAAGAGATAAATGTAAAATGAAAGCATGTGTAGTTGCTTGCAAAGTTATTTTTTATAATAATTTAAAAGGCAAAAAGAAAATGCAAGAATCAATTTTTTTCATATATAACATCTTTATTATTCATTGTAGCACTCACTAACTCCTTACTGATTTCAGGCATGAGAACACTTCGAAAACTAAACTAAAACTCTATGTGAAGTGAAAGTAGTAGTTTTTATCTAATAGAAGTAGTTGTAGTTATTATGACCAATATGAATTGTTGCCTACACATGGCTGTTGGCATCCGCGACACTTCAGCATTAATTGCCCTTCTAGAATAAGATGCGAATTATGTAAAGACATGCGACTATAATGTGTTTTAGAAAAGGGTAAATTAAGGAAGAGCAAGTTGAAAATAAAGCTTTAACAAATAATTCATTAAATGAAAATGCAATCTGGCATACTTTAATTGTCAGTGTTTGCGGAAATGGTGAAAGCAACTTTATACGAATAATTCTAGATACCAGAAGTAGCAGATCATACATTAGTGCATTTCATGCAGAGAAATTTAAGACCCTATTTAAAGCATTTCTCATTAACGTTTCATTTTCTACAAGTTAATATATGAACATTTTGTTAAAATCTGTATTTTTGCAGTTCAGTAGCTTAACATTTAGTAAAGCAAATGAAACTGCTCTTTCAAATTATCAAAAGATAATCAAGAAGATGTGGTTTTGTGCGGAACTGCCCCTAAACTATATAAACTAATTTCACTCATTCAGTAAATAATGTTTCTTGTGCAATTAAACCGTTGGATTTCTCTGAAGCTTTTTACATTGAAAAAAATTTTCTCCATTGGTAAATGACATTAATTTCAACAGAGTTCTATCTAATGCTTGAAGAGTTTTCATATTTTGTAACTATTTTCCTTGACAGATATCATTAAGATCAGTTTACCTTTTGTTAAATGTTCATCTAAAGTGTCTTTTCCTCGCTAGAGGGCGCCAGAAGTTCTATTAGTGAGAGAAATTAAAACTTTTTTTTTTTTTTTTATTCTTTTTGTAACGAGTAGATAGCTTGGTTTCGAATGCGTGTGATGGACGGATAAATTGATTCGTACAGCCATGAGAGGAAAAGAGAGGCTGTACAAGAAAATGTATTTAAATATTAATTTTTTTCTTTTGAATCTTTTATGTAAATAAAATGTGATGTCAAGAAATAGAATTGTGGTTTTTCTGTAAAGAAGATTGCCAGCTGAAACATCACGTCAGATTCAACAATGCATCAGAACAGGTAAATTCATTTTCTTCTTGTTTTTTTAAATCAGTTATATAACTAGAACCTGCATACATCAGTGGATTCTGACAGCTTCAATCAACAGTAACAGATTAATTACATAATACCTTCATTATACCTGTAGCTTTTAAAATAAAGTGATAAAGTTCTTCCTTCCTGAATGAAAGGGACTTATACCTGATTGTCCGCGAAATCGACAGTTTTATTGAAAAATCTGAGCCAAAATTATTTTTTTTTGTCTAATTTAAAATTTTACACTGGCATTTTTCTTTTACAATTTAATGGTGCAAAATTAAATATTATCAAGCAATATTTTAATTCTATTTTAAAATTGATTAATATTCTAAAATGATAACATTTTTGTTTATAGTTGTGTAAGTTTTCTAGTTTTTTCTATCTTAAGCAGACACAAAATAAAATATTATTAAAAAATAAGTCATTAACCTCTTTTTGTTTTGTTTAATATAGTCACCATAGCCTAGCGAACAACACAGAATGCATTAAAAATTGTCTCATCCGCATTTAATACCATAATGCCTTTATTTATACATTCTAAAAATCATTTGCTTCAGCAGAGGTTACCTTCATAACTGTTTCATCTTTTCTATCTTTGCTTTCAAAATCAATTGATTCTACATTTGTTATTTTCCTTATAAATATTTTCAATACTTTTAGACTGATTTATCTCATCTTTCAGTTCATAATATATGTTAAATCTTTTGGCACAACATCATGCCATGCAGCCTACAGCAGTGTTTAGCTCATCATCTGGTTCTTTAGGTCAATTTAGCTTAATTTCGCAAACCAAAGTTTCAATCTTGCTTAGAAAAACCAATGCTCAGTTATTGGTCTGCTAACAGCTGACCAATAATTGAGCATCAGTTTTTCAAATTGAGTAGTTTTGTATGCAACATGTATGGATGATTTCAGAATTAACAAAATATTTGCCAATGAAAGTTTGCAATACTGAACTTTAAAACCAGATTCATGTGGTGTAATTCTCTTACCATACATTTTCATGTTGTCCTATAATTATCAGTTTTATGCTTTTGACATAGTTGACATTTAAATAAACAGAGGAAGGCTGATAAAAAGCAAATTTTTTCATCCCCCTTTTTTTTTTTCAGAAATAAACTATTAAAAGAAAAAAGTGAAGGTTTCAAAATTAAAGGAAACTTTTTAAGTGTTTTAATATAATGTTAGAGCTACATATGGGTTTTGAAGATATTAATTTTTATAAAATGTAATCATCAGACAAGAAATTCATTCATAAAATGTGGATAATTTAACATTAATTTCAAATTTCAGGTCTGGCAACTGATAGCATTAAATGCTGTGAATTTGTAAATCAAAGTTGGATTACACCTCCAACTTTGATTTACAAATTCACAGCATTTAATGCTATCAGTTGAAAAGTTCATTTGTTTAAGAAAATGTGTTAGAAGTAATAGCAGAAAAATAAACACATATTGCAGTTAAGCAGTATTTTATTATTAAAAACTGAAATTTAACAAAAAATACATAATTTACAAAATGAAAGCAGGATGTAAACACAAGAACTATTACATATGTAATGAATCAAATGAAAATGTAAGTTTACAAAAGACAGAAATATGAATGGAAAGTTGCATACAAATTAGAAAATTTAAATATAAATAATTAAAGTAAACAATGCTAAATTTATTAATTTTATATACAATAATCTGAACAATAAATCCTTTACAAGAATAAAATGAACATTCTAAACTTTTTTTTTGGCTCAACTGCTTAGAAAATATGTGAGCAGAGCTTTGTCTTAAATTTGAGCAATAATATTCAGCAGATGGAAAATTTTGCTGCCAGAGAACTCAGGAAGCTTTCAACAGCCATCTCATTTACACTACTACCTCATACAATAGTAATTTCTTACACACCTCATAACAGCAGATTGAAGAATTCTACAAAAAGCTTTCATCTGTAGCATTATAAATAAGCTTTGATTTAGCAATAAATAAAAGAAGTTTTCAATTACACTTTAAAACATAATTAATAAAGTACAAAGTTTACATATAATTAAAAGTGCATTTAATAATAAATTAAATAAATTATAGGTATAGCTTAGAGCATCAAAACACTTATAGATATCTAAATGCAAGAAAATCGCATACTTCCTCTCTTTCTTTGTATATACATAAAATTAAAAATATTATTTTACTTCTTACATTTAACTTCACTGGAGGTAAATGTATATGGTATATGTCTACTCATACAGCTAAAGTTTCCATTACTTTTAAATTTTTTTCTTACTGTTACTAAAATTAAAAGATTACTCAGTTCTTACTTAGTTTTAAAGCAAAATAAATAATAGAGAATTGTGATTTAAGATATCAGATTTAACTTTCCTGTATTAAAAAATTATACATGATTTAGCTCATGAATTGAAGCAAAGGAAGAACAGAATGAAGAAAATAGTAGAATAAGAGTAAAGTTTGAAACATTTATACTCAACCCTTTGAGCAGTATGTTAAATATTAGCGAATTCCCTTCAAATAATTAGTTACTTACAGTATGAACCAATAATAAAAATTATGAATTAAGTGGAAAGAATAAATGAATAGATTAAAAAATTTAAAGATATTTTTTAAAAATATGTATGATTGTGAAATTTATGCTCTAATTCCCAGTTTTCCAAACTGTTTTTATTTCACAATGACAGCTATATATTTTTTTCAGTGTAAAGTGTTTTCTTTTACATTTTAGATATATGAAAACATGCAGTTTTCAACAGTTCAGCTAGTCTGTATTTAAAATGAATGTAGTATTGATATTAAAAAATTGCTATATAAAAATTACTTAGCATTTTTTTAGTTTGCCTAGTTATTTTTAGTTTATAATGAAAAATGCTAAAAATATAATAAGAATGTTAAGCACAAATACTAGATTTATATATTTATTCTCAATAATTAAAGAGTTGAATCAATTCAATTCAAATACTTAAATATTTTTAATATGAATATAATACGTTATTGCTGGCTTATTATGCATTATAAGTTCTATTTCACCAACTCTGCTGATAGTTTAGCTTTTAAGTGCTTGATGTGGGAGTATTCCAAAAGTATATCCATAGAAACAGGAGCTTGAAAAGGAAGAGAAAGAAGAAAGTGACCCATGGTCATGGTCCTATAATATCCCTCTGAGAAGAAAGGAGCTAACAGGATATCCGGAAAGGTTAGCTCATCTGGTGCAAGAGAAGTGTTGCAGGTGTCATGTGACTGTAATGGGCCAAAGTTTCCTGCTGGAAGCTTATTGATTGACTCCTATTAAATATTTTTTATTAGAAGCAGCAACATTTAAATGAATTCATATTTAAAAAAAGGTTTCAAATCTTTAATTTATCTTCGATTCTAAACTCATTTCTTTTGGATGTTTCAGAATATAAATTCAAATAATAGTATGTGCAGTATAGCAAATAATAGTACTTATATCCTATTTTATATGAGAAAATTACAGCATTAGAGATAAACCTCAAGTAATAGCATAAATAAACTGAGCTATCATTTCAAGACAACCATACTTGATATTTTACACTATTTACACTAACTGTAATTTCATAACATACCACAAACAAAATCTTAGCCCAATTAAAAATCACTGCATTTCATAATGAAGAAAATTTATTTTTATGCAACAAATTTCCAACCTCCCTATTTTTCATTTATTTCTTTATATGGATAAGTAAAATGTTTAATACACCTTAATTAATTCATCACATCTCTTACTACTGTAATACTTTATTCATTATGCTTTATTATAAATACTGAGTAATAACTTAATAAGTTATGAAAGAAAACTGAAAAGCATAGTTTAAGAAAGTTTTCAAAAACATGAAAGTCTGATTATTTAACATTAACCCTCTCAGTAGCATAACTGCTTTTTTTCTGGCCACGAGATTTGTTGCCATATGATAAACATTATCTTATTATTTCAAATACTTTTCTTGTTTTCTTTAATGGTATAACCACTATTCTAATAAATGAAAGGTTATAAAACAAATTTAAATAAGCAGTTATAACAACTCTAAAAAACAAATGCTACAGATGCTGTTTAAACACAGTAAATCCAAAAAGCTGAGCCACTCAGAGGGTTAAAATAATGAGCTAAATTTCTCAAAAGACTGCTAGAATCTTCATATCTAGAAATGACTAGGCAAATCTTTTAGATATACTATAAAGATATACAAGAAAATGTGAGTTTTATATCCATACTTAACATTATTAAATAATAAAGTAACAAATTTAATTACAAAACAGTCATTAGTTTAACAACATTGAAAAAACAAATTTTCTAAATTTGAAAATATACTTATTCAAGTTTTAAAGTGAACAAATATAATGTATACTTAAATACCAGATTATTTCACTATATTATTATAAAAAATAGCATGGATGAGAAATGAGATGATTGAGGTGTTAAGAAATGTGACACAGTTATACAGTATCTGTCTTTATATAAATTCTAAAAAATATAAACTGCCATTCAATTTTCAAAAGTTCTTTCCAACAAAGATACAGACGGCACAAAGTTTCTGGTGTGACTTCACCTAATATTTCCCACATTTTGTGGGCTGCGATGTACTACATTGTCTTTTTGTTTATTTCACATTGTTCATAAGAAAATGCACACTTTATGTTCTGTATTTGCATTTTTATCAATTTGTTCAGTTTCACCAGTTTGCTGAGAGTGAAACAAACATCACTGCCAATGTATTAAATATTCATTCAAACAGTTACAACATATAAAAACCATTTAATTTCAATGAGGGTGATCTTCACTCTCACTTGCAGAATCTAAAAAATAAATATATAAATAAAAGATTAAAAGTACATATTTATTTTTATGTAAATATGCATTGTTCAATTGTTCATAGTTTCATATTCATTTTTCATGATGATGCTAATTTAAGAAATTTGAATTCAATGCATATTTATATAAATAAAGATGAATAAGTACTTATTCATTTTTATGTAAATATGCATTGTTCAATATTAAAAATGTACTTGTTTATTTTTATGTAAACATGCATTGTTCAATATTAAAAGATGTACTTATTCATCTTTAATTATATAAATATGCATTGAATTCAAATTTCTTAAATCAACAGCATCATGAAAAATGAATATGAAACTAAAAGTAAAAAGAAATAAAAAGATTCCTGTGTAACTTGTACTTAAAATTAAGGGAGCTTTGCTACCTAGAATAGGCCACATAAATAAGCAGACTAATTATCATATTTAACATCTTAATATGCATTTAATTTACTCAAATTTTAAAACATATCTTTTTAAAATAAAATCCACACATACAGAATATAAAGAACATACATACCTCCCTTTTTACCCTGATACTGATGCCTACGTAGTCTATCATATAGCTCTTCTTTGGTGCCATAAATACTAGCATTACTATGTCCAAGTGTATTGGTTTTACCATGGAATCCATCTGCATAAAAAATTTGCATACTTAATTTATAATCATGTTCCACATTAAACAGTACAGCATATTTTTCATTTTAAATCATCATTATATATAGATAATACCTGGAAATTGCAATAAATTTATAAAAATTCCTTCTCTGAAAGTTTCGGCAGTACAATATCAAATAAAAAGCTTTGAATTTGGGCATATAATCCAAATAAAATCTACTTTACAAATTCATCACACAGCCAATATTATCTACTGAACTGGAAGAATTATGACAATGCAATACTTGAAGAACAAAACATGAGACATCATATTTTTTTCTTCTGAAAAGAAACTGTGATACAGACAAAATGGGAAATAATAAGTGCAAAGTGCTTTTCCCATATGAAACGTAAAAATTTTTAAATTCAACATTAGTTTGATAATGAATTTAAATGGAAAGGCACAGAAATTTTGAGGAGAAAGTATTGGTTTGATTCTCAATTAATAAGCAATAATGAAAATATTTTTTGTAACTTTTTTTATTTTGAAAATCTAACAGCATATTTAATGCATGTACCTTGCATGTAAGTTTCATTATAAAAGTTAGGCATTTCCCAACCCTCATCATCTTCATCTTCAAAGTAATGAGCATATGTGCTATGATGTGAAGGTGCAATGCTTTCTGCATATGGAGCTGGAGCACCATAAAAGAAATTAGTCTGAGAGCCAGTCAAATCCATGTGTGGTTCAGGCATCTTTTGCATTTTTCTCTTCCTTGTTGACCTAAAAATTAAAAAATGAAATATATATGATGACAAATATTGCCTCAATTTATTTGATGTTTGATACAACATAATATTAGAAGCTTTAATATTTTAAAATATAAAATACTATAAATTATATTAAAAATATAAAATTAGGCATTAATGTTCTTCTTTTGGTATACGGGAAAATAGAAAATACAATATTTAAAAATTTTTAAATGTATATGGTAACTAATATTGGTTCAGTTAAAAAAATATATTTGATTTGATGTTTGATATAATTTAGCATTCAAAGCTATATTAAAAAAATATATAATCAGGTCTTTATTTTTTGAATCCATCAAGAAATGGAAAACAGATACCGCATACAGTTCAGGGGGAAAAAAGCTGCTAAATCAATATTTCCATGCATGGAAACAATAAAAAATTAGAAGCAAGATCTTTATTTGTATGTCACTTTTTATATTTTATATTCACCTACATTTTTATTTCTTAAAATTTACTCTAGAATGTAAGCAGTTACCTTATATTTGAGTGAGCCTTATTTTTGAGCAAATATGGAATTACAACTGTTTATTATTATTACTGGATTGTTTTATGACTATTATCCAGTTTTAGGATATTAATGTGAAACTGAGATTTTAATGTAAACTTTATTAAAAACATCCACAAATCAGTTTTTGAGTAATATTGGAAGCTGATGTAGGAAACAGTGGCAGGTCTGAACGAAACATAACTGTTTCCCGAATTTGAACTGAGATGGTAACTTTATGCAGAGATGAGATCAACAATTGAACACTGGTAAATGCAATATTATGAACTAATGAATAAAAATTCTATACAATTTCATCATTTATTTTATATAAGAATGACATTGAGAACAATGTTCTTAATGTCATTTCAAATGCATTGTCTAATGCAGTCTGCTGTGCCTGCTTGAGAAGCGATAACACAAAATTTTTAGATATTTTGCAAATGATAAAAGAATCTCTTTGATCTAACCAGTTCTTCCTTTTCAACTATGAAAACAAAATTTTAATCAATTTAAATGGCCAAGCAGATACTTGATATTCTCGAACAAAAATGGAAAACCTTCGTAAAATTAAGTGTGTTTTAATTAAAAGTAATTGTTCTTCCTGCATTATAAAGCTGTTAATTATGTATTATGTAATTAGTTTAATTTCCTACTTTTATTTCATCTTCTAGGTTCATTCCATTCCATTATTTAGTATTTTACTTAAGTGGTATGTAAATATACAAAATACCTACCTAACACATATCATCCATACAAGAAGAACTAACAAAATAATAACAATAACAGCTCCTGCTATGCCACTTGCTACATAGACAAATTCAGATTTTTCAGTACAGTTATCTCCATAAAAGTTTGCTGGGCACATGCATCTTGGTTTAAATGTGTGTGGGCTGACTTCGCAGGTACCTCCATTTTCACAAAAGTTTTCACAGGCATCTGAAAACATTTAACATATTAAAAAAACAATGCTCTGAATACAGATGTTTATGCACATACCTATGCTAAACAAACTAAATCAAACATCAGAATATAATTATATATAGCATGTTTTAAAGTAAGTACCATTTGGAAATAAGAAACCAGTAGAACTTTTTAACCAGTTTTATTTTTATATGAAAGCCTGCACCTTAATCTATTTTTCTACATAAAATCCACCAATATTAAGGTACTTATCATATTGTACAACAAGTTTTTGAATCCCCTCTTCACAGAAGTCTGCCATCTGATTTGACACCCACTACAACATGATTGTTTTAACCTCATCGTCATCAATGTGGCAAAGATCGCCCAGACGTTACTTCAAATGCAGGATCATAGTCACTGGGCACTAGACTGGGATTGTATGTAGGAAAATCAATCTGTGCCCAGCAAAATGATGCAATTGATTCTTGGAGTTAATGTAGCTGCATGTAGATAGACATTTTTTAAATTAACATAAAGTCACCAAATAAGATCAAAATAGATTAAAAAAATTGCCAAATAACAGAGAAATATCACCAAGTAAGGGGTTAAATCACAACAAAGCTTGGTTTCATTTTCAGACAACCATCTAGAATTAGGCAAAGATATTTCAGTTTAATGCAGATTTTGAGGGCGGTCAGACACATGCCTCTTTTTCAGGAGGAAAATAAAAACGGGACAAGAGGGGAATGGAGATTAAGAGCTGAATTCCCCCTGTAAAAAATATAAATGTAAAATGAGGTGTTTTTAAAAATTTCCCCCCGCTGTAAAAAAAAATTCTTGAAAACACCTCAGTCAAACTAAGGTTACTTTTTTCTTAATTTAAAATTTTCCACTTGCATGTTCTGTTCTAGTGAAGGATGCTTTCCGAATATTAATATTAGGGGTACAGTGCAAGCCAAATAATTTCCAGAAATGTTACGAATAGTACATAAATGAACTTACTGTGAAAGATACTGTGAATAGTTCATAAACAAGCTTGTGCAATTTCCTAATTAAAATGCTGTGAAAGCACCCATTTATATATTTCTAAATATATTAATTAAATTCCACTGTTAAAGAACTTTTTCCCTCATTGTTTAATGTTATCAAAATAGACATGGACAAATGTGATACATTAAATGGCACTTACAGTATTTTACAGAATAACGAGAAATAATTCGGAAGAAATTTAATCTTATAGCAACAAATGAATGTGTGTTTTAGAAAATGTTTAAAATTATATATTTTATTTTTAAGTTAAAAAATATTCTATATATTTTACTATTATTTAATACTTACGAACACATTCTTGAGTAATATTCTTCATAACATAAGCTGGCAGACATTCACAAGCAAATGTGTCAATTTCTTCATGATATACACAAGCTGCATTTGCCTGACATATACGCTCTCGTCCATTAACAAAACATGGATTAGAACATTCTTCAAGAGATGTAGCTCCCAAACCCTGAGTAGTTGTATCTTGGGGACACTTAATACATTCTGTCATTCGATCTTCTTTATCTTGGTATGTGCCTTTTGGACACATGACACACAATTGTGTTGATGAATCAACATACATTCCAGGTTGACAAATATCTGAAAAGTGCATTTAAAACAATAATTAATATGAAAATCAATTCTACTGATCAAAATAAACACTTTTCTATTATATTTCTATTGCAGGCAGGAACATATATTACTCCAGAGAAAAATACATGAAATGCATGACAATTAATGTAATAATGTGCTCTGTAATACAGTACTATACTATGTTTGTTACTATAATACAGTAAAATTTATTGCTTTTTGTTGTATTACTGTAACACATATATTATTAAAACAATTATATAAATGCAATAAACTTAAAAACACTCTTGTTTGCTACAAAAACAAGTATAATTCTGTTATTAAAACAATTATATAAATACAACAAACCTAACAAACACTCTTGTTCACTAGTGGCAGCAACATCAGGTGTTGTTTTTCCAGGAACACACTGCTGACATGCAGGCATTCCCCTTGATCTGAAGAAACCTCTTTGACAAGGCACACAGTCTCCATTTTCATCAAGTTCATAACCAGACAAGCATTCCTCTATAATATGTTAATATAAAATATATTAAGCAAATTTCCTATAATTACATAAAGCTTTATAATATATAATTATGCAAAATTAAAATCACATGGTACCTTAATATAAAGTACATACATAAATTTAATACACATAAAATAGCTTTTCTCACCTCTGCATTCTAATTTTGACACAGCTTGGTTACGACGTGTGGTGAGACCAGCACCACAAGGTATACAATTGAATGAGCCATCTTCAGGTTGATAAAAGCCATATCCACATGGCAAACATGAGCCTGCAAGTTTGTCATAATAGTTGCCTGCTGAGCAATGTTCTGAAAAAAAAAAAAAAAAAAAAAAAAAAAAAATAAAAAAAAAATAAAATAAATAAAAACTTAAGTGCCTATAAAATGAGAAAAAGTGAATTAAAAAAATTAGAACTCATATACAACATGTGAAAATTTAGTATTTAAAAGCTCATTAAAAGCAATATACTTCTATAAATAAAGAAGTCTTAACACATTTTAAAGCCTGATTATTTTTTTCTAGCAGATGTATAGAAAGAAATGAGCAACATTCAATTTAAAACAACAATATTTAATATAGTACTGTAAAAAGAAAAATTAGAAACATAGTTTTTTTAAATCTTATTCAAAATTAATTTTAAATTTAAATTACTTAGTAACATTGAACTAATTTGAAATGCTGAGTCTTGCCTCATTCACATTCCAAAAACTTTCAACATTTAAAACAACTTATGTATTAAAACTGTGTTTTAAATCAGTGTTAATACATTGATTAGATGTCACAGTGGCTTTGCCCGGTCTGCCCATATGAACTTTAACCACTGGAGTAATATGTAAAGCACAAGAAGTCAATGAAAATACTCAGCTTCCATATTAAACTTCAAGAAATTACACTAAAATAATTCAACATTAGAGAAAATTTTAAAAGTATCATACAGTGTAACAAAAATGTCATTTTAATGTTGAATTATAATACAAAGGAAATTTAAAGAACTAACTCTGAAAATCAAGCTGATATAAAAGCACTTATAAGCCTTAAAAATTCAGTATAAAGACAGCTTTTCCTTAAAAAAGCATTATACCTTTACACTGATCTGCTGCTCTTGTTCCAGTGGACTGTGTAGTGCCTTGTCTTCCAGCTATTAAAGGACATGGCTTGCATGCCAAAGATCCCATTTCATTTTGATAAAACCCAATAGGGCATGGGTTACACTCTGTAGTTGCATTTTCATAGTAAGTTCCAACAGCACACTCAACTGCAATGAGAATTATATAAATTTTAACAGCATTATAATAATAGTAATTTATGACATATTTTAAAAGCATTTTATATGAGTTTAACAATAGAAGAATTCCAGACACACGAAATTATGAACAGAAATTTAAAAAAAAAAAAAAAAGTATTATATAAGGATTAATTCAAATAGTACTCATACATGTGATATTTCCATCATTAGTTTTATGAATATAAAAATTTGTACTGAATATTTTAAATGAGGAAAACTACTAAAATGAGTTTATAATATGCAGCTATAATAATTTATCCAATTATGTAATTAATGAAAAATAAACATTTATTCAAAAAGGAAAAATAAAGCATTTTAAATTATGATTAAGATATTTAAATGCTGACTGCATTTGAACAAAATACAAATAACCATGATTAAAAGAGGGAGAGAGAGAGAGAGAAGAAACTAACTATTTTGGAAAGAATTTCTACAATGTATTCATAACAAAAAATTTATTTGGGAGGCTGCTTCTATGGAAAGGAAGAGGGGAAGTATGGGCATTAAAGATAATAATGCCAATTTCTTAACTTATACATTTAAAATATCACATATATCTGCAGATAAAGGGTTCAGATTAATTCTGTGTACACACACATTATTTAGTTTTAATTTCTATTTCTTTCAAATATATATATATATATATATATTTAAGAACAATCATATTAAAAAATAAGCTCTTCTTTAGACATACAAACAAGATCAAAGATGTCAATAATACAAAATTATAGAATGTAAAATAATTAAATAATTCATTCAAATAAAATTTGCAAAATAAAAAATGAGTTACATACAAATTAAAAGTAAAATTGTGAAATAAAAATAATATTAAACTCCCTTTTGTATCTGCAAAACAAATATGAAAATATATTTCATAAATGTAGTAAATCAAAATATTTGATTAAATTTTTTATTATAGTACATACTTGAAATAAAAAATATGTAATTCATAAAAGGCTTAATATTTTTATAGCTATTTAGAAAGAAATATTGAACTCACCACAGCTCGATCCAATGACAACTTCACCTACTGGACAAGCATAGTCTGTAAGCATTTTCAAAGAAGTCAAATCAGGCGCAACATTTGGCAGAATATTACGAACATCAAAAGCTGACTTCTGCAGAATGGCATTCTCTGCTACTTCTTGAACTGTTGATCTCTCTTGGTTATTCTTATTTATTACAGGATCACTATTAATTAAATTAAACAGCATTAATTACATAATTAGTTTTACATTAATTATGTAAAACTGTATAATAAAATTAATTTTTTTATGAATTGAAAGAGTCAGTTGATAAAATTAAAAATTTTAAAACTGGATCAAACATGAACAAATTAACAAACCCTTGCTGTTAAAAGTAATATTACCTGGCAGTCTCCCATGATAAACTTATTTTTAAATAAAAAATTTAGATTCATATGTGATTTATTAACTCTAGATACAAATTTATGATGTTTTCCCAAGGTGTTTTTCACATCTAACTACTATACATGTAAAAATACTATTTCTAGATCCCTTTATTTGTTCCAGTGGAGTCATCAGTTTTGTAAACGACTCGTATGAAACAAAGAAAATACATATTTAGATATACAGGATTGTCTAAAATTCTATAAAGATTTCAGAAGTTTATGAAAATCAAACCTATGGGTGTAATGGAATGCAATATGCATGAAAACGAATGACAAGGATTTTTTTAGTGTGTGTGAGGGGATTAATTCAAATTTCTGATAATACACAATGCTGTACTATTCTGGCTGCAATATTTGTAATTATAACGAGGGGTTACCTTTACTGTTGATATAATGCAACATTCTCTATTGGCATAAAGTTGAATAAAATATTCCATTTTCACATAAAAATATTATTCGTCACATTCATTTTTATGCAGACTATACTCTTATTATACCTACATATGTGTATCTATATATATATATATATACATATATTAATTTTTAAATCTCTACAGATTTTTTTGACATTTAATATATGTAATTGTACAGAAAGAGAGAGAGAGAAATATAATTATTAATTGATCAGTTAAACTATTATGACGACTTTCCTAAAATCATGTTTCTCAGATATATGAAGGAGCTGCAACTCAACATGCCAAGGCCTTTGGTAAGTGTCTGAAACCAGATTTGCAAGCAGAGGCCATACATTTTCTGTAGATTACAAGGAAGCAGATGGTGAACTCTGAGCTGACACTGTAAGTGGTTGAGTGGTTAATGGATATTGGTAGTTTGATCAGAGTTCAAATCCAGGAGAATGGGCTGGCTGTGGGGTAACTTTTTTGTGGTTTTCTCTATGTATAACATGAATACAAGCCAATTTCCCCAAGAAAGTACTCCAAAAAGGCAGCCCTTCTCTTAGGCAGATATAATTTTTTTTTGTTTTGTCTTATCCAAATAACCTAACATAACCTGAGCTGGCATTCCCTGACATCACAGATGTGCTCAGTAGGATTTTAATATCCAGAGTGTCAGGAGGTCACAGCAATGATTGGAATTCACCAGCACATTCCTCAAACCCCTGTATCACAATTTTGGCCTAGAAATAAAAAGAGTTATCCTGTTGGAAGAGTTCATTTATAATGGGGAAAACAGAAGCCTTTGAAGGTTGCAACTGGTTAGTGATAAAGCTCATATAGTCAGCAGCTGTCATGCTATATACACTGAATTAAGGATACACATGGCTATGCAAATTTTATAGTGCTGTGCTGCATTTATGCTCACGTGAGAGCGTTGTGTTAACTGTATGTATAGCTAGTACTATGGTTGTTGTTAATCAGTCGCTTCAATTACGAGTAGGGGTAAAACTTCTGATTTAGATAGCTTTAATCTCGGACATAGTAGGCACTCGACACATGGGCCATTCAATTTCCAAAATCCTCAGCAGGCTTGGATTTTCAAGGTCGACAGTGTCAAGAGTATACCGAGAATACACGGATGGTAGGGAAAAAGAACTAGCAATCGCACAAATTGCAAAGGACAATTAACATAGAACAAACGTGGTGTGAGACGGCTCAGCCGTATTGTACATAGTCAACAAAGCCAAACATTAGCTCAGATTACCACTCAGCTGAATCAGGGTGACAGTCGTACAGTCAGTAAAAGGATCATGCAACGCTCGCTTCGCCGTATGGGCTTCGGAAACCATAGACCCACGACTGTACCTTTGTTGAATGCATGCCATCGAGCTGCACTTCTTGCCTGGGTAAAAGAATACAGAGAATAGACATTAGTGAACTTGAAATGAGTAACAAGGAGTGATGAGTCTTGATTCTGAATAATTAATACTGACGGGAGGCTGAGAATATAGCATCAGACTCATGAAGTCATGAACCCTATATGGCAGATTCAAGGCCATGGTGGCTTAATTATGGTCTAGGATGTTTTCTCTTGGCATTATTTAGGATCTTTGGTACTTGTACCAACCTCCCTTAATATCATTCGGTACTTAGAGTTACTGGGCGATCATCTCCATCCATTTATGCTGTCCTGTCATTCACACGGAAATGGAGTATCCCAGCAAGATAACTGCACCTATCACAGGTCTCGGTTGGCTACTGTGTGGTTGGATGACCATTTTTCTAACTTCTCTGTCATAAAATGGCTAATTAAAAGCCCCAACTTAAATTCTACTGAGCATCTTTCGGATGTTTTGGAGAAAGGTTTGAAACCTCATCACACAACACTAGCGATTCTTCCTAAATTATAGACAGCTCTATCCAATGTTTGGCAAGCCATTCCTGTAAAATGCTTCCAGAAACTTATTGAATCTATGCTTTGTCATTTGGCAACCATTATACAGGCCAGAAGAGGCCCAATTCATTATTGACTAGCTATCTTTAATTCAGTGGCACCTTCAGTATATTTTGTTTGGTTGTGCAGACAACAATTACTGGTCCCAGGGATGCTCACAAGAAGATAATTAAAATTATGTGGACTATACACTGTAACAGCTTATTAAATTATATACATTAAAAGCTTGACTATCCGAAAGCTTAGGAAATATTATGCAGGATACATAAAAATTTACATTACAGTACAAAATCCATAATCCGGACACGTTGGGACTTTGGCGATTCAGGATTAGGGTTTTTTCTGGATTATAGATCATCAATTTAAATCTGGTAAGATGGCATGCGGATATTATACAATTAAAAATATGAAACCGTAATTTCTGAAATAAAGAGCAATTATGATCTAAAAAGTATCAAAAGTAAAAAAAAAAAACAAAAAACAAAAAAAAAAAAAAAAAAAAAAAAAAAAAAAAAAAAAAAAAAAAAAAAAAAAAAAAAAAAAAAAAAAAAAAAAAAAAAAAAAAAAAAAAAAAAAAAAAAAAAAAAAAAAAAAAAAAAAAAAAAAAAAAAAAAAAAAAAAAAAAAAAAAAAAAAAAAAAAAAAAAAAAAAAAAAAAAAAAAAAACAAAAAAAAAAAAAAAAAAAAAAAAAAAAAAAAAAAAAAAAAAAAAAAAAAAAAAAAGTCGTAATTTATTTGTTTACTTTATTAAACATTTCTTTCAATGTAAGTTGTTTAAGTTGCTTGGTTTTTTGTGCTAATATCTTCTCCTTAATTCTATAAACAGACATAATTTCTTGTTCAGTTACAAAGTTCCGCTGTTCAAGTCCCGTAATTGCTGTGTCTAGAATACTGACTAATTTGTTAATCGAAATTTTTTCATTTTCAATAAACACTCTGTCACTTTCTTCACTATCGGAAGCGGTATTTTCTGGATCTAGAACCATACTACAGATTTCGCCGTCCATTAATTGATTGATGATTGGGGCATTGTCATCGCAATGAAAAACTTCTGTTATATCATCTTTATTTATTACCGCTTCTCCACATTTCTTTACAAAATCCAATAACTGGAAAATTTCCCCTTTAGTTTGCGATATCCGAAAACCTTCAAATTTGCGGCTATCATCTTCATCGTCCTCACCACGAAATATGGTAGCTGGCCATAAATTATGGCAAGCATTTTTTAACGTATCTGAAGACACATCCTCCCACGATCTTTTGATGCTACACACAGCACATTTTATGCTAAAAAATTTCAAAAAGTCTTTAGTCTTGCCATTGTTTAAGAAATTTAACATAGATTTAAAAAATGCTACTTTATATTTGCATTTCAGCGCATGCACTATTCCCATATCCATAGGCTGAATAATAGACATACGCTTTGGAGGGAAGAATAATGCAGATACATTATCTTTCACTAAAACTTTAAGTGAAGTATGCACCGAACAGTTGTCAACAATCAGGACTTTTTTTGAGTCATCAGGTAAACCAACCAATTTCAAATATTGCAGAGCCTCGGGTATAAAATGATTTTCAAACCAATCATTCATCAACACTTGTGTCATTCATGCTCTTTTATTTGCGTGATATATAACGGGGAACTCCTTTAAATGCTCGAGGTCGTGCATGTTTTCTGATTATGAAAGGTGTGCACTTGTGCGTTCTTGCAGCATTTGCGCATGCTAAAATTGTTAGTCTCATTTTGGAATCTTTGACACCAGTTGGAGACTTTTCTGTAGAGGTTGCCAAGGTATTTCATGGTACATATTGCCAGAAAAGACCAGTTTCATCAGCACTGTAAATTTGTTCTGGAGATAATTGTTCACTGAGTTCAATGAATTCATCTGCAAATTGCTCAGCAGTTTCAGTATCAGCTGAAGCTTTTTTACCCGAAATTTTTAATGGCGATTTTTAAATTTGGTTAACCAACCTGTTGAATATGTGCACTCAGTGTTTAAATTAATTTCTTCATGAAATATTTTCGCTTGAGCCATTAACATTGGACCCACCAATGGTACGCCCTCACTGCGATGCTGTCTGACCCATTCAATCATCACTTTGTCATGATCGTCACTTTTAGCCTAACGAACCCTTTTTCTGTTATTCATTGCAAGTGGGGTGTCGAAATCCAGAAAAAATTCAAAAAGTTCCTTTTTCTTTTTGCTTATGTCATGTACAGTTGACTTTCCAATGTCATACTCCTCACATAATTTTGAGACGGATATGCCTTTATCCATTTTTTGCAGCAATTCCACTTTTTTTTGATGGACATCAAAACATGCTTTCGCTTTGCAGATCCTTTGGCAGCTCCAGAATTGGAAACTCTTTTTGACATAATCGAAAGCTCAAGCTTAATTTTTATAAAATTGCTCTAACAGTCTGCAAAAAAATAATAAGCCAGATCGAATTAGAAGATTAAGGAACAGTGCAATCTTCAACATTAACTGAAATGCCTTAGAATCAGTTAAGATAATTTTAGCCTATCTTATACCGTCTGTTATACATGAAACGCGCAAGCGTAAAGCATACAAAAAAAAGTTTGCAGCTTTGAGGTCCAGATTATAGATCATTCTGGATAATGGATGACCGGATTACGGACTTTGTACTGTAGTTGAAAGTATAAAAATGCAGTTCATGCTAGGAAAGCCAAATGAATAAAAGAAATTTCTGCTCTCAGATTATAAATTATTTGCTTATGAAATCCTGTTGACCATGAGAGTTGCAGAGATCCTACCAAACTTGTGCAAATCATTCTGGCTGAAGGTTGAAGGAACAGACTGTTCTTTATTTAATTAGATAAGATTTTAACATCAGATACAAGTTATGGATAACAAGTTAAATTGCTTGTTATAATTTTACATGTTTCATTGCCATTATTTATCTATTTTCAAATTGTGCCCTTACGACATACTTCTCTTAATGACAGGCCCCCATAATTTTGAAAACACTTCACTGCATGCATTTTTGCTGATAACAAGCTGAACATTTTTTTCATTTTTTGAAAATGAAAGGAAAAACAGATGAACAGCAGAACAGCAGTTAATTTATATTGCTCCTTAAGAAAATTAAACCAATTACATGAAACCAAGGCAAAGATCTTATGACTGTGTTACAATGTCATGCTTAATCATTATTGGTGCTAAATTACACTCTTTGGCTATAGTTTTTGTTATTAAAAAATCTGATGTGTACACCACATGACTTCCTTGTACGGAATATTAAATTATACGCATTTTTTCTTGCATTTCATTTAAACTTATTGAATTGAATTAAATCTACTTCGTCGACAGCGCATAAACAACAATAGAATAAATGCATTCTTTAAAATTCACTCTAGTATTTGTTTACCATAGCGACACTCTTGCCCTAGATTCACTTAACAGAATTAATAATTATATAACAGTTAACTTATATAATAATTATATAACGGAAATTAAGTTAACTGTTATATAATCCAATAATTATATAACAGTTAACTTATATATTTTGTTCATAGTATAACTCATAATGCATAAAATTTATATCATTTAAAGAATAGAATTATCTAATCGTTGCCACATGTTCTATTCAAATACTATAATAAAGCTAGAATGAGATATAAAAGAAATTAAGCAAACAAACAAAAAGAAAACAGTTTTTCACAGACGATGAGTATTCTCATTTAATTAATTCAGTTCTCACTTTGCGAGAAGGCAAAAAAAAAAAAAAAAAAATACATAAAAAAAACTCAAAATATCTATATAAAAATTACGAAGTAAATCTTAAAACAATTATTTACTCGAAAAAATTCCAGAAAGAATTAAGCATGATTTAATTGGTAATAATAAATGAATGCGTTATCTTTGTTGTTGCAAAGCTAAGTTTCTCTAAATTGGCAACAAATCCACTAGTCTCCTGTTTCAAATGTAAACATCAATGGTCGCCATTAAAAAAAAGGCTTAACGGCTTAACACTTACAATTTAAAATTGAAAAAAAGATTGCATACAGATTTACTAAAGGCATAAAAAACCTTAACCGGAAGATAAAAACAAAATATAATACAATCATTTTTAAAGCAAAAAAGGGAAAATTTACAAACTTATAAGAGTAAAGAAACTGAGATCACTGAGCCGGGTAACAGAACTGATATATATATAAATATATTTATATATGTTTGGCGCGGTCGATTGCAACCAAAATACGAGGTGCACATCTACATGTTATAGCAGTCCTATATACAAAATTTCAATGTCCTGAGGCTACTCGTTTTTGAGTTATGCGAGATACGTACGTACATACGTTCGTACAGACGCCACGAAAAATTCTCTTCAGAATTAATTTTAAAGCAGTTTTATAATTTTTTTGAAGGAAAAGAGTATTTTATTCTGTCCTAACATACAGATATCAAGCAAAAACATCGTTAAATTGCATTCGATAGCGGTCAAAATGGATATTTTCGTAATATGCTGCCTGAAACTTTTCGCAATTACAATACTTTCTTTTTACTTTGTACAAGGAAGGAAAAATGGTTGATGTTAAAGATACCTGTGAGAATAGCTCTCATAAACACTGACTCAGTGTTGCTGTGGATGTTTTCCCATGCTATACTAATGGCCTATATTTTTTCTGTGAGAAATGCTCAATTCCAAGGATGGATACAATGGTGGGTGATGGCGATAATCAACAATTTCTGAAGGAGAGGCATTGCATTCACATTTTAGATGTTAGAAAAAGTCCTACGCGTTTACTACAAGCTTCTAATTTGCTTAATATTTTACTAAAAAGGTTTAAGTTAACACAGCTTTCTGGTAACCAGAATGCTGAATACCTAGGCTTTTACTGTTCTGCCAGTTTCAAGAACTAAAATACTTATTCTTTCACTTACATCTTTTTATGACATTTATGCTTTTTTATTCCTTCAACTTAACTATTATTTAATAATACATTATATCTATAAGAGAATAATAAATTCTTACTCTTTAGCAGGAAATTCAACTTCCACGGTATATATATCACTAATGTCCACTTGTCTTTTTCCGCGAGGTGTTTTACTACACTTTACAATAACTTTCATTTCTCCACAGTTAGAATCAGGACCATCATCCAAGCATATATTCCATTCTCCATCTACTTTGCGCAAGCTATCTTTGATACGATCATGCAAAATTTTTCTCCCAGAATCTGAACAAATAACTGATGACTGGAAATCCATGGCAATGCGGAAAATACGACGAGCAGGTTTCTTACCTAAAAAATACAATTTATTATAGCACACACAGAAGAAAAATTATACAGAGGTAAAAATAAGTAGTAAACAAATACCATATTTACTCACATACAGGGGTTGGACAAAAATATGGAAACACCTTTAAAAAACCATGTTTCTTTGCTTAATATGGTGTAGGAAATCCATTGGCATCCAAAACAGCTTGCAGTCTTCTCGGAATGGATAAATACAGTTCCTGTATGTTTGCCAAGGGAATATTATACCATTCTTCCTGCAAAACGGTGGCAAGTTCAGATAACGATGTTGGCGGTGGATAATGAGAACGCACTTTCCGTTCCAATGTAGTCCACAAAGGTTCGATAATATTCAGGTCTCTGGTGACTGTGGTGGCCAGGGGAGATGGGACAACTCATCCTCGTGCTCAGAAAACCAGTCCTGGACAATGTGAGAGCTGTGTGAACAGGGGCTTTGTCATCTTGGAAGACACCATCGGGGAACAAAGTTTGTACCATGGCATGAACTTGATCGGCCACAAAATGTTCACATAAGTCTTGGCAGTCATTGCCCTGACACACAGTTATCATGAGGCTAGCAGAGAAACCACGATATATGGCTGCCCAAACCATAAACAGAACCCCCGCCATGTTTCACTCTTGGCAACAAGCAGTCTGTATTATAGGCTTGAGAGATGGCGTTCTCAGACGTAAACTCGGCCAGAAGTGGGAAACAATGTGAAAGAAGACTTGTCAGACCATATTACTCGCTTCCACTGCTCCAGTCACATTACTAGTCCAGGCTTTATGACTTAAACACCACCTTTTCCTGTTACGGGCATTAGCATCACTGATGAGTGGCTTCTCAATTGCAGCACGGCCAGCAATTCCCTGTTTATGAAGCTCCCTTCTAATTGTTTTGGTACTCACAGGGTTCGGTAACACAACATTCATTTCAGCAGTAACTTTTGCAGCTGTGGTCTTCTTATTTTTCGTCACAATTGCCCTTAATAATCGTCTGTCACGATCACTCAGGACACACTTTCGTCCGCGCTGTGATTTAGCAGATGATGTTTTTCCGCTTTTCAAATATGCGGAATAAATCTTCGATACAGTACCTCTTGAAACACTAAACACCTCGGCTATCTTGCTTACGGAAGCACCTACCATACGTGCTCCAACAATTTGTCCACGTTTGAAGTCTGTTAACTCTGACATAATGCAATGACAATCTCACATAACAGTACTCCGACAACAACTGAACTGTTTAGCACATTTACGAAGTTGTATAGGTGGCGTCAGTAGCCAAAAACGCCAGCACCACCTAAATATTTCATTAAAATTAATCTTTCTTTTCAAACATGCATTTCACAAGGTGTTTCCATATTTTTGTCCATCCACTGTATTTCTCTCCTTGCATACTTTAAGTTTATTCAGCATATGCTTTAGAAACTTTTGATTTATGGTAACAATGTAAAATATATACACAAATAGGAGAGTATTTTGCCCAAGTAAAAAGAACATTATTGCAAAACACTTTGAAATATATATTATGACAATATTAGTGTGTCTTTACGGGGGGGTTTTAATAGGCTATGCTTACATTTTAAGCTATCTCTTCAGAAATGGTACATGCACTGCATATTTTTCCCCTCTCAGTTTTTAAGTGGTAAAATAAGTGAGAAATGGGGAGGGGATATGTGAGCAAATATGGTTAATGAATATATAAATATATATATATATATATTATATATTATTATTGCATATAACTTATTCAATTATTTAATTAATTCTTCAAGCAATTAGAATGTTAACATGACAATGGAAAGTAACAACAACAACATTTATACTGAGTTATTAAAGTACAATGGGGGGGGGACCTTCTAACAATCTAAAACAAGTTCCAAAAGAAGATAAACATAACCTATTCAATTTTTCTTTAATACAATCTATTTAATGACAAAATTTTACATCTATTATATAACACAGTTATCAGCTCTTACTATAAAAGATCTTATTTAAAGATTGTTTTGAAATATATTAAAAACCCATGAATAGTAGTTTGCTTTTGCTATTTTATTGCATATAACTTATTCAACACTGCATAAAGGTTACAAAGTTTTTTCTTAGAAAAAATCTATGAAATTTATCTTCAGCTTTTAAAATCACTTTGTGAATCAAAATGACAAATTCATAATTATCATCTGTAACAGAATGTTTGCACATTTAGGATTTTTTTATGACATTTTAACTTTCTTCTTCATTTATTATATCTGCAGAAGCAAGATCTTTATCAGTTCTTAGATACTGCTCAGTTCCATTTTGAAAATTAATGTCAATTACTTCCTCTTGGAAAATGTTGAATAAAACATATTTTGCTGGATAGTAGAAAAAATTATATTGACTTAAACAGGGACATTTTCTGCTAGTCAGATTAGTACAATTTTCAGCCAGTGCCCTAAATAAAAAATCCCCCTGCTAAAAAAATAAGCAACAAAGGTAAAACATGGAATAAATAAATAAAAAAAAATTAATGGATATCACATATGCTGTATGGGATTCAGATGCGGTGATCTTGAAGGCCATGACAGATGTGGAATGGTTTCACTCTCCAAATAACTCTGCATCACTCGAGCTCTATGGGTGCAGGTGTTATCTATAAATATTGCATCAGTATCCATTGCAGTGATAAAAGGATGCACAAAAGGGTGTAAAATTTCGTCTGCGATATCGAATGGCTGTGACTGCACCAGGAATCGCATAGAGGTTGGTGCAGCTGTTTGTCGCTATCCCAATCCATACAAGTAAACCTCCTCTTCTGTAATGGTCCAACAAATGTTTTGCGCTTGATAGCATGTTCCTGGCTCTCGTTATATCATTGCTCTTTGGAAGTTTTTCTGCATGTTAAATCAAGAGTCAACCATAAAGAGTATGTGGCTCTTCTGCTCTGGTGTCTTGTGATGTTCACGATCCCAATTCAACCACACACTGACATGCGATGGGGACAAAGAAACCTAAACCACAGATCCTCGGGTGTACAGTCCACCTTCATGCAGTCGATGTGACACAGTTTGGTAGGATATGGGCCATCATGCAGCAACAGAGATATGCAATGGGAGCTGTCATACTGTTAGTGATCTTGCACATAGCAACAAGAGGAGATTGTCTGCCATTGTGGTAATCCTCTGATGTCCAGACCCATGTCTTCTACATGGGTTTTGATCCCTTTAGTGACAATTCCACAGCCTACTGATGCCACTAGGAAACACATTCAACTCTGTCACAACAACGAATCGTCTTACACTAGCAACATCCTGACAGCCCTCCAGTGCATTTCATCATTCAGATGGTGTCTTCAGCTCATGCTTACTGCTTTGGCTATCTTAGATTACATGGAACTACGATTGCCTGCGAACTGACACATAGGTACCATGCCCCCCCTTTTTAAGGCATTGTGGTGTGACTGTAGAATTGTGTTTTATGCTAATTTTAGTTGCCTATTTTAATTTGGTGTTGCAACCTCTACCTCATATGTAAATTGTATGTTTCTGATTTCCCTTTTTTACATTTGTACCTTTCGTTTTACCTTTTTTAAATTTTTATTTATTTATTTTTATTTTTAGCATGAGTGTATTTAGATACTTACGCAGTGCAGCTAGCTTAGTTGAAGCCACCAGTTTTCAAAATGCATCAAACTTTGCCAACAAACTGCATAATAATTCTTCAAGCAACCATGTGAATAATAATTCAGTTTTAGCAAGCAACATCATCATTTGCGAATGCATCTTCTTTTTTTTTTTTTCTTTTTTATTTCAATAGTGTTTACATAAAAATTGTGATATATTTTACCTTAAAATTTTAATAAGTGAGATTTGTTTGGCATAGGAAAAGTTTGTTGTATAATTTCTCCAAGAATACAGCACTTTTCCTCAAAAGCACTGAAAGAGACGATTGCTTGAATCTAATATTAAAGCAATTACCATGCAATTTTTACTGGGAAAAAAGAGGCTGAATTTCACCTGTCTGTAAGTAGGTTTATTGATTGATTGTTGGGATTAATTATAATATGCATAATAATAACAATAATATATAGTATGCATGTTTGTAATAAAAATCTTTTTGTGATTACAAATCATCATTCTTTTTATGTGTAATTTTTACCTTGCACCACAATGGTTGTGTAATACTTATATACCTGTATTTCATTTAAATTTAATTATTCAGAATACAATTCAAGACTGGTAACTAATCAGTTATACTATAAATAGCTTGCATAACAAATCGCAAATTTAATGGTTAATGATAATGTCACTAAATTTACTTGAATGATACCATTAGTTGATCTATATTTATGACATACATTATTGCTGCACTGCGTAAGTATCTAAATACACTCTGCTAAAAATAAAAATAAATAAATAAAAATTTAAAAAAGGTAAAACGAAAGGTACAAATGTAAAAAAGGGAAATCAGAAACATACAATTTACATATGAGGTAGAGGTTGCAACACCAAATTAAAATAGGCAACTAAAATTAGCATAAAACACAATTCTACAGTCACACCACAATGCCTTAAAAAGGGGGGGCATGCCGTACCTATGTGTCAGTTCGCAGGCAATCGTAGTTCCATGTAATCTAAGATAGCCAAAGCAGTAAGCATGAGCTGAAGACAAACTTAAAAGTATTGAGAAAAAGGATAATCTCTGTGTAAATGAAAATCTAATGATATATACGCCTTTAATTAGTAAATATAGTGATACAACAGTCCCTGTAAGACATTCTGTTCCTAGTATTAATACTTACGCGCACAAGCTGGGAAAATAAATGGCTTGTTAGGATTCTTAGTAGGTCGCCAAAATCCTTCAACACCACAAGTATAAAATCTTGGTATCTTTTCAGAAAATTCAAGACCTTCATCACAAGTAATAGTACACACTTTAAAATTTCCACCAGGTCCCCAATCAGCACATCCAAGTTGGCCTCCTATGGGTGGCATGGGGATTGTACAGAACTCGCCTAAAAATAAAATATTTTGTAAATTACAAAAATAAAAGTTAAGTAAACTTTTAAAACACTAATATAACAGACTTTTAGCAAGATTTCTAAAAGTACATTAATATGTATTACATACTTTGAGAACAATATGTTCCATATATTTTGGGAGAAATATACAAATTGATTATATATATAAATATGATTTTGGTGTGAAATAGCTGTACTCGATCTAAACAAAGTCTAACTAACTGAACTCCATTCTTGAAATTTGTATCACATAAGTATTTAATATTTTTCAGTCAGTTCTTTAGAAATACGAAAATGAACAGAAACAGAAAGCATATACAGACCAGTCATTAAAATTACAGCAACCTGTAGAAATTATTATTTTTTTTACAAACAAATTTTTTTTTTATAAAGACATAAAACATCTATGCAAATATCTTTAAATAGTATGTAAAAATATTATCTACATTTTAATCCATCAAAATAAGATTTAATTCATTGAACTATTAAGAAATTATGCATCTTAACTAATGATCTAAGCATATGTTAAAAGGATGTGTCTTTAATAAAATAATAACTAGAAATAATTAGTTTCAACAATATATTTTAATAAACAGACACAAGGATTAATTGGTATATTTCAGTAAATTCATTCAACCAGAAGTAGATATTTATCAACACTTAATCCTTTCTTCTAATAATTACTCCTGTTTTAATGTTTTCATATCTTACTCCCATTTTGGGGGACAAATACATAAAAGAGAAGTTATTGTAATTTTAAAAAGTGACTTAATTTAACAGCAAACATTCATGAACAATTTTTTACTAATTAACTGAAAAAAATATTGCATAAATAATTTTGCTTTCAACTAACAAGATTCAGTGCATGTAAGATTGATGCTTATTTTTCACTGTACTGCTTTACCAAAGTTAAATAAATCTACTCTATTAATTAAAAAAAATCTGATGTGTAAACCACATGACTTCCTTTTACGAAATATTAAATTATATGCAATGTTTCCTGCATTTCATTTAAACTTATTTCCTCAAATTTCATTAGAGATATATTTTTCATTCAATTAATTCAGTTCTCATTTTGTGACAAGGCAAAAATACATAAAAACTCAAAATATCTATATTAAAAATTGAAAGATATAGAAAAACATAAAAACCAAATACAGTTAAAACAGTTAAAAAAACACAAATTAAAAAATTACAGTTTCTACACAAAAACAAGCAATTTGGCTAGCAGGCAAGAGGGCAGATTTTTCGGTGCACAAAACTGAAAGTTTACTTTTGGTCTCACTTGGCATAAAGACACAGAAGGTGTAGAAACTGACTTAATTTGTTGCAGACACTATAATACTGAGCCAATATATGGGATAATTTAATAATTTTGATAATTTCTGAATGGATTAAGCATAATTTAATTTGCAATAATAAAAGAAGACGTTAATTTATTGCAAAGCTTAGTTTCTCTAGATTGGCAACAAATCCACTATTCTGCTATGTTTCAAATGTAAACAAATATGGTAAACGAAAAAGGCTTAGTTACACTTAAACAACTTTTAAATTGTTGATAATTCTACAATTATAATAGGTAGGTTAAGTAAAGGCATAAAAACCTTAACCGAAAGATAAGAACAATTTAATCATTTTTAGAGCTAAAAATGCACAATTTACAAACATATAAGAATAAAGAAACTCACTGAGCCAAGTAACAGAGTGGATATATATATACAGTACAAAGTCCGAAATCCGGACTTGTCAGGACTTTGGCAATTCTGGATTTGAGATTTTTCCAGATATTAGATCATGAATTTAAATCTGGTAAGATGGCATGCAGAAATTATACAATTAAAAATATGAAGTCATAATTTATGAAATAAATAACAATTATGATCTAAAGGGTATCAATCAAAATTTACAAAAAAAAAAAAAAGCTTAATATTTATTTGTTTACTTTATTAAACATTTCTTTCAATGTAAGGTGTTTAAGTTGCTTCTACAAGAAATTCAAAAAGTTCCTTTTTCTTATGTCATATACAGTCGACTTTCGGATGCATACTCCTTGCATAATTTGGAGACGGATATGCCTTTATCCATTTTTTGCAGCAATTTCACTTTTTGTTTAATGGGCATTGAAAGATGGTTTCGTTTTGTGGATTCTTAGGCAGCTCCAGAATTGAAAACTCTTTTCGACATAATTGAAAGTTCAAGCTTAATTTTTATAAAATTACTGTAATAATAACAATCTACAAAAAATAATAAGCTGGAACAAATTAGAAGATTAGGGAACAGCGCAGTCTGCTACATTTAACTGAAATGCCTCTGAATCAGTAAAGATAATTTCACCCTAGCTTAATAGCATCTGCTATACATTATTGGCTGGTATCACAAGTTTGGTGACGAAAGCCAAGTTGTCTAGCTAAATTTTGTCTTGCTCCTACTGCGTACTGAATAGAAGCCTGAATTGCATTAGTTATTTACCATACCTACATTTATTTCTTGCACATGCTTAAAACTAATTCAAGTCCTGAATAAATAAACTCCCACATATATTTAAGGCTTTATCTAGGGCCGGTGCTAGATACTGCCTGGTTCAGTGTCTACAGGTTCTAAATTTTGCTACAAAGTGCCTTCCTAAGTTCTAAATTTTCACTATGCCTAAACTTTGGATCCAAGGTGCTTTCCTAAATCCTAAAAAACTTCTCATCCCTTAATTTTGCCACTCGGTCTTTCCCCAAATTCCAAAAATTTCGTCTTCCCTAAATTCTGCTGTCCGGTGCCAACATATTCTGCCACCGCTTCTGGGTTTATGGTGAATAACATATCAGTTATTCATAATTAAAAGAGCACTAAATGTAATCTTCTGGCCTATGAGTTTCATTAACAAAATCTATTTTTAGCACATGAAAAGAATTTTTTTGTTGATTTCATCATTTCTTAGAGCATTTAAAAATCTATAATCATCAGCAAGCGTAACGTTAGCATAAAAGGTTGCCATACTCTTGTTATTCAATTACTAATATAAAAAAAGTTTAGACATCACTGCATGAGTTATTACTGAAGCTGTCATGTATTGATAAACATGCAGTGATGAAAGCAATATATAATAAATAATGACTCGCCAGGTTGGCGTCAGGGATATAAAATAGGTAAATGTTTGGTTTGAGATGTATGCCAAGCAGATACTCAACTACAGAGCCAAATTATTAATCTCATAAATTTATGCTTACATGTTTGTTTTTCCACAATCCGAGGCATTTTATTTAGTGCCTAAGTGAAATTAAGAATCGGAATTTTTAAGTGAAAAATCTCCATACATTTTACTATGGAAGGAAAAATTAAATGTGCATGCGTAAAGTGTACAAACAAACAAATAAAAAAAGAAAAAAAAAGTTTGTGGCTTTGAGGTTCGGATTTTAGATCATTTCGGATAATGGATGTCCGGATTTCGGACTTTGTTCTGCATTTATATACTTCTGGTGTGGCCGTTTGTAACCAAAAAAGGAGGTGCTTATCTACATGTTATAGCAGTCCCACATACAAAATTTCAACCTTCTGAGGCTATTTGTTTTTGAGTTGTGCAAGATACATGCATATGTACAACACCATGAAAAAATCTCTCCTGAATCTATTTTAAATCAGTTTTATAATTCGTTTGGGAGAAAAGAATCCTTTATTTTGTCCTTACATACAGATGTCATGGGAAAAAAAATATTGCATTTAATAGTGGTCTTTTGCTGAAATATAGTACCCGGAATCATTCGTAATTACAATACTTCCTTAACTTCATACAAGGAAGTAAAAAGTTAAATTTCTTGCTATTTAAGAAAGAAATGATAGAAGAAAGAAATAAGCATGTTTGCAAAACGTTTTTTTTTTTTTTTTTTTTCAAATGAACTATTAGCCATCATTCATTCAGTTATTCAGAGGAGGAGAAACGTCTAGCCCATGTACAAGTAACATCCATAAAGCCTTAAGGACCATATTACCAGCCATCATATCAATGCAACAACGGAGCAAAATAGAGGGAAAAAAAAAAAAAAAAAACTTAAAATATAGAATACATGTACTAAATACATATCCAAAATACTAAAAAATGTATATTAATACATTAAGAAACATATGATAACTGAAGTTTCATCAAGCAGTTTATAATTTTGCTTTGTAATATATATAAATCAGATACAAAATAAACACACAAAATAAAATATAGCAACTGAGATAAAACACTTACTCATTATATTGAGATAAAACACTTATTCATCATACTTACTCATTATAAAAAATTATATGACTTACTCATTATATTTATTCGAAAACTACATTTTTCAGTATTTCCAGCCTCATCTGTAGCTACATATGTCAAATCATGAGCTCCACGCGATAAAGATTGACCTAAAAATGCATATAAAAAATAAATATTTATCCGTCTTTTCTTGTGGATTTTATATGAAATTAATGCAATTTTTTAAAAAATAAAACATTTAAACCAAATAATAGCATTTTTTTTGCAGCAACTTATGAAATGTTCTCAGCAAATATATTAATTTCATCATTATTAGTATTTAAAGGCTCAAAGTCATTTCTGCAACCAACAAATTATAAAAAGTTTTCTTATATCATTACAAGAAATGCAAAGGGAAGAAAACCTCATTATTGCATATGACAGCTGTATATTCACAACAGATTACAAAGCATTTCAAAAGTACTTGTCAAATTTGAGAGAATAATACATTTTTATAATGCTGCGTATGCAGATCCATTTAAAAGTAATATATTTAACATTTTCATATCACTTATTTTACATGCATCATTTTATTTAATACAGGCTTTTTCTCGAAACATATTTCAATAAACAAAATATTTTACTGAAAAACCACTAAGAATGATCATAAGTATGTGAAACAAATAAGAAATATACTAAGGAAGAATTAAAAAGAAAACCAAATTGTAACAATTTTATCAGTGCTTCATAATTTATAATTATATTATACTGCATAATAATAAGGCACTAAAAAAACTTTTATTTTATGCATAAGTATTTATGTATGAATTATAAAAAGCATGGTTATAATGGCAATGGGGTTTCATTCACCAAATGTGGTAACCTGTTTATATTGCATCATTGCCCAGCTTATGAATAGCCATAAAATAACATCTTTGTAAATAAGGGGGAAGAAGAATGAACATCAGCTCCAGTTTCCTCTCCTAAATTTTAAACTGCTTAAGTGGATCATTTGACAGCTGCTGGATATGAACACTGTTCATATTAATTGCCAATAAACCACAATTTCAACATTATTGATACTAATATGAGATGCCATGTACAAAATGGCAAACTAAACAGCAGAGTGCTGCCACCACCATCTAGATTCCTTCCTCATTGAGTTTATTGGGCATGACTGCATAAAAAGATACTAATATCTTCAGCACCATTAAATGAAATTGACAGCTTTAATCTTCCTGTGTAATCAGAAATTAGTCTGATAAAATCTATTTTGCATTTATTATGGATTTAATAAAATGGTCATTCATTTATGCATTGTTAATGTTGCACTATCTAGTTAGATTTTATGCTAAAATTTATATCTGGCACTAAGTAATTCCCCATTAACAGAAAAGTACTGAATATTATAGCAAGACCTTAGACTTTATAATGAAAAGCTACTTAAAAAGAATATTAAATAAACTTTAAACATAATTTTAAATGCACAGACTTAAAAAAATCCTATCAAATTTAGAGATACATGATGTCTTTAAATTAAATCATTAGATTCTTTATCACAATAAAAAGCTTTTTTTAGTCTGAAATTTTAATTCATAATAATTTAAAAATTATTGTGTCCAGCAACTTGTTTGATTTCTTTTATAGAATGGATATTCATTTCATCCCATTTTATCTTTCACAAGCAGCAATTTAGGCTAAGATATTATAGATATTGCAACTAAATAAAATTTAGAAACAGATTTTTGAGAATGAGACAAATTTTTGCATTTAATTAAATTTATAGTATAAAATATTTTGCTATATAGTATTCCACTTGTTTAATAAAGGACTAAAAGGAAATAATTTAAATTGAATCATTTTAAGGTGCACAGAATAAAAAAAATCCATATTATTCTAAAAAATTAACAAATTTATAAATGCATGAAGTACCTGATTCCAAATTATTCATTTCCATGATTTTCACAGCTCTTAAATCGTCAGTAAACCTGGGCTCATCCCAAGTTATTGAAGTAGACTTTTTGTTACTAATAACCCATTTATCAGGTGGACAATGTAATAGTTGAGGTGGTGTCTTATCTTGATGTAAAATATGGCAATTATCTCCAGTATAGCCAACTGGGCATACTCTTTCTCCACACATACCTGGGCTTTGCCTTTCAACAGTGCCAACAACCCTAATTAAAAAGGCATAAAATGAATAATATTCTTATATAAAAGAATGATATTACTTATTACTAATTATTTTCAGAATAATGCAATGCATTTTTCTTCATCTAATGAAAACAGACCAATTAATTTTAGTTAGTAACTCCTAAATTAAATTAAATGCACTTCCTTAAATTTAATTTTAAACCTGCTTTTAAATATAAGTTTCTATTAAAACAATTACTATATCAATTTTGCAAGAAATAAAAGCACAGAGTAGATTGTACTTTAATTTGAAACCCAGAGAAAACATTTTAACAATAATCTGTATTTTATATATAGTAGGATAAATAAGAATGAATAACATGTAAATTTTTGTCATTTTTGCAGACAAAAAAGTTCAGAAATTTAATTCACACAAAATAATAAAATAATGCATAACGAATTTAAGCTACATACCTATCATAAGCAGTCCACCTTAACAGTAAACCATTATACAACACTGGTGCATTTCTACAATCTCGGAACTGGACAGGTAGCTCTGTAGTTACATCTAGTGTTCGATCCCATATGTTTACACGGCTAAGTCGACCATGGAAGCCAGCAGAAGCAATTGCCTTGTTTTCATCATTCAAAGGGGCACCAAGATTTACCCAGCCACTATAAATATATCATTTATTAGACACAAAAAATATATTAATAACACAGAAGTAACATACATTCAAAAACAAATGTCAGTTTTTACACATTTAGCTAAAAGAAAGCTACTTCAATAGATGATTTCTGTTCTATTAGTCATAAAGATATAAAGACATTATCATAAAGACAATAAAATAATCTCTATCTGGCAATTTACACATTTGGAAGTATTTAACCTCTATAATACATTACATGTTAAGCATATGTAATAAACTTTCTACGTCATATTTTTAACTGTGATTTATTTCTTACCTTGATTGATGAGTAATAATAATTAACTGAATAAATATACTTTTTTCATTAAAGCAGAGTACATTTTGTTATTTTCAAAGAAAACAATAAAAAAAAAATTCTATTGATTCCAAGTTTTAGCTAAAGTTTCGCATTAGCTTTACATACTATCCAGGTTTAAATTTTGCACTGAAATTTGAAAATGTGCTACATTTTATTGAATAAATAATTAAAAATTTTAAATATTCATAGAAACCAATCACTAAACGAAGAAAATATAGATTCATTCACTCAAATACAGAGGAACATACAGAGAAACTAATTTAAATAGCACATTTATTTTTTAAATAACACATGATAATAGTTTTTGCCAATTAAAAGCAAAAATAAACCCTATAACATTTGTAAACAAAACTATATACTATACTGAATTTATTTCCATATATATATTATTTAAACAAAAAGTTATATTCCTTTTGCAGCTTTATTTATTATCATTGTTACTTTGTTTTTATTTTCTACTTTGGTCTTAGACTGCAACTTAACAACCAGTATTCCTTAACCTATTAGTTAGAATACTTGAGATTTTTTTCCCACCTCTTTTCAGTTAAATGCTGCTAGTAAAATCATCCACAAACTAATTCTAAATTTTCTTTTCTCTTCCCTTCTTCCCTTCAGTTGAATGCTGGTATCAGAAATCATCCCCAAACTATCTCTGATCTAAGTTAATTCAATCTGTCAATTTTTCATCATAGTACTTTGTGGAGAGACATGATAACCATTACAGGATTCACTACACAAGGCTATTTCTATGAATATTATGAATGTCACTGCATTAATCATGATATAAACTATTTAACTGGTAAATGTAAGAATGCAGCATATCCAAATGCCAGATGATCATTATTACTTGAAATTTTATGTTTAAATGACTTTATTTTTTATTTTCTCAATATAACAATATATATAGTATCACAAAACTTTTTTATTTAAAAACATAAGTATTTTCGTGCATAACATAATTATGCAAAGTATTTATTATTTTCATATTCAAAGTATTCATATTTATACATTTATAAGATATTTTGAAATTTATTATTGAATTTCACTTTTCCTTTGGGTCTTTGTGTAAAATAGGTTCTAAATTTCTTACTTTTTCAATATATATATATTTGTTAATAATTTAAAAATTCTTTGCATTTCAATATTATTAAAGATAATAATGAAATTAAATATCATACAAACAGGATAATAAATGAGTTTCAAAAAGCAGCCTCAATTAGAAGTTTGGAATTGAACATTGTTACCTCACAAAAATGCAAAACTTTAGCACATTGATTATAAATTTTGCTACAATGTGTTAGAGTGCATCACTATTCCTCACTGATAAGATTATCTTTTTTTTTTTTTTTTTTTTTTTGGGGGGGTATGAAATGGATTCACAATATCTTAATTTCAAATGCATTTATTTATGAAATTAATTTTAATGCAGGTTTCAGTCAAAACATAAAATCAAACCTCTTTCCTATAGTGCTTGCTTAAAGCCTACAGATACATTAAAAATTTTAAAAGCAACTAATACTTATGTAATTGCTAAGTTAAGGAAAGTTCAAAATATAAATGAATAGCTAAGTTATTGCAAGTGAATTGCAATACAAGATTTCCACAGATAACTCCGTTTTTTTATTCTATTCAAATTCAAAAATATATATTATAGCACCTAATTTTAAAATGTAACTCAAATTATTTCATTCTATTGGGAAAGTTATAACATTCAAGGATGCATTCATAACAACAACAATAATGATTAAAAAAGATAAATCATATTAAAAAATAAAGAAATATTGAAGTACATACTATTTTGGCAGAGATATATCAGACACATAATGATCAACGAATCCAGCTAATGCAGTATCCATCATAACCATTATAGTGCCTTCCCTTCCATCCCACATAATAACAAGGTGATGCCACTGGCCATCATTTATTGGGACATTTTCCAAATATTTCAAAAATATGTCATTGGTAACATTAGGGAAAAGGGATACTAAAACTCCAGTATCATCAGCCTGAACCAAAATTCTTTTACCAACAGGGAGATGAGCTGATCTGCAGAAGAAATACATAAATTAAAACAACTTGATTATATAAATTTAAATGAATGGAGTACAATTGAAAGTATTTAATTTTTATTTCCTAGATAGTCTACTAAAAATCATACAGCTGATTACATTAATTTGAAATTTAGTGCAATGATCTCAAATTTAAAAAAAAAAAATGTTTGTTTAAGTCATCCAAAATGAATTTATACATCTATTATATATACTAAATAATGATTTTAGTAGTGCAAATATTTTAAACATAAAGGAAAAATTAGCAAATTTGTCAATAAATAAATGCATTAACCCCTTTGCGCTGACTGTCACATCTACGTGCCGGCAACGAACACACTCACTTCCCAGCCAGCACGCAGGCGTGCCAGAGCGTTTTCCCGTTCAGCCCCGACTGTCACGTATTTGTGCCAGTGTCCTGGAACGTTTTAAAAACTATAATTTCTGCCACAAGATGGCACTGTATGTCCTATGTTTCAGATACATGTACATTAGACCTTCTACTCGAAATGAGAGAAGCATGACTCACAACACGTTTTTTGATTATATAAACAAAGGGAATAAATGTTTCCAAATGACGTGATTTATTGTTCTCTTTTAAATTCGCACGTGGTAGTTGTTTATGTAAGTAGAGAAGTTTTATTTTCACTAAAGCGTTGGGTATTTCGGTTTACAGTTCAGTTTTTTAGAAAAATAATTAGATCTTGTTAGACGAAATTCTTTCTATTTTTTACCATTGCAATGTCGAAAGCGCGTTTTAACAGAGCATGAATAGCAGAAATGATGCCAATATTTTCAGATATTGATTCTGAAATATATCACACCAAGATCAGCAGAATCATTAAATCCCTCAGATAACTGAAAGACATTTTTCCAAAACTTTGTTCGGAAGAGACTGATAAGAAATGAGACGACGATGCTTCGTTTGTTCACATTCCCGGAAAAATCCTCCAAACGGCAATGAGTTATTAGGAGTGCAAGGAATGTCGTAGGACTGTGTGTGATCCCTGTTTTCAAATTTTCCATACGAAAGAGAATTTTAAGTAATATATTTAGTTTCAGATGTATAATGTTAAAAGTCATAAAATGGTGAGTAATGAAAATAAAATGTGTAAAATATGCATTTAAACAAGAATAAGGTAATTAAAGTATATATAAAAATATCTATAAAACATAAAGCGTTTAAATACTCTATAGATCATTATTAAACTGGTGATACTTCGGAAATTTCATGGATTAGGCTTAATGGCAAAAAAGCCCCGCCTGGACAGATGCTCGCGGAAGACACTACCGGCCTCATAAGTGCGCGTTTGCGCTACCCGGCGCGAAGGGGTTAATATGGGGGAAAAAAACCACTGAAATGTTCTTAAATTTTCTGTTTATTTGCATCTAGAATAAAAGAAATTTTTTTTTTTTTTTTTTTTTTTTTTTTTTTTTTTTTTTTTTTTTTTTAAGAAGGTGAAAAGGTATAAGATAAAGGGATAGCTATTTAAAGTACTTTTTGAATATTTCCAGTTTAAGATTTTCCATATTTTATTCCTTTCTACTCATGAAATATTCAAAATTATATTTTTATACTTTAAACATGAAGATTCCATATACTATTATTGAATGTGAAAGCAAGTAAGGTATTATTACAAATATTGAATTTGCATGCTAAGTTTGGCAAGCAAATTATCATACAAGCCAAACTTGCTTTTTAAATAAATTTTTCTTGGTTCAAAAAACATTCTTTGGCTTAGAAATGATGTCATTAATACAGTCAACATGATTAATAATTTTTTATCCAATTCTGATTTCAGTTTCTTAAGATCAGTTTACAGTCAGTAATGACATATAATGGAACAAATATGGTAATGTCATATCCTTTTTCTTGGGCGTGTAGATTCTGGATATGTATTTAATTCCTACCGTAGACGTATCGTATTGCGAGCGTAGCATAAAACGGCACAAAACTTTATTAAGACACAAAATAAAATAATAAGTACAAACGATTAACACACAAGTATAACTTCGTATTTTGCATCTAAGCTGACATAAGCACGTTTCCTTCGTTACTCGCTACTACTACTAACTACTCTTCTCTAGTAAGTCTCATGAGAGAGAGGCGTTGCAGGCCGTTCGGCTAAACTGCGCATGCGTGGTCATCACGTCATGACAGGTAATATCTTTTGTTTGAATTAATTACATCAAACAAATCCTTCATACTATCTAAAATTTCAAAATTAAATGAAAACAATATGACTATTGATTGTATGAAATAATCAAATTACCACAGCTAAATACTTACTCAACACTGTACAAAGTGAAAAATACTCCTTTAGAATTAGGACTGTTGTATTGTACCCACAAAGCAATAGATAAACTATTTGTGTTTAAAGTGAAAGGAGCAGCAAGTGCAACACTTGAGGATCGACTTTCATCATTAATGTAGAGATCATAATCAATGTTAACAGCTAAAACAGAAACAGAAATACATTAAAATTGTTAGATGAGTTATTAGACACAACATATTAGTTATTTACTAGTGTGGGAACAAGTTATTAGACATATAAAAGCTAAACTGCTTAGTAATACATAAACAATTAAAGAAGTATTAAGCACACTTAAAAAATTAAAAACAAAGTGATATTTATAGAAATACAGCCTTAACTTTGTATGTTTATCTCAATATAATGTATATCTTTGCATGCATTACTATCCAAAGGTGGATTTTTTTGGACTAATTAAAAGCATATGACATATAGAATAAATTAATTAATTTCATTAACTGTTGATAAATTACACATATTATGATAGTTGCATATGATAAAATTAGCTCACAGATTAAAATTAGGCAAAGAGGCAATCTTAGATTCATACAAATTCAAAAGCACTGAAAAAAGTATTAGAAATAACTTGAAAGCAATAAATTCAACCTTTAACTAAAATCTAATAAAACACTATAAATTTCTATGGGAGTCTAATGCAGATTCTTGTTCAGAAGTAAAATATTTTTTTTTTATTATTTATAGGTGAATTTGAAATTCATGGGGAGATCAATATGTGAAGCGAGCAGAAAACAAATGTAATGCCATTTTTCAAGGAAAACTGTTATGAAACATGAAAAGGTCTAAGATATGAAAATTTTGAAAGTGTTATGAAGAACTGGGTTCAAATTAATGACATTAACCAAGGAAAGTAAATTTTTATAAATGTGAAAGACTTGATGTAAGTATAAAAGAGCAAATATGAAAGAAGAAGAAAATCCTGGTTACCACCTGAAGAAGCTTTCCAGATAATTTTTGCAGAACTAGAGTAAAAATTGTACTTAAATGACCAAATGTGATTAGCAATTCAAGATTTATTTATTTCTTCTTTTCAGACATATGAGGTATGATTATGCTATGCTAAATTTGAACACCCTTTTCAGTTTTATGTTAGTTCACATGGACGAGAAATGCTATAAATTCCCCCAGAATTAAAATCACAGATGAATTTTAAATTTTTTTCCTCTTTTATCTCTCTATAATGCAGTTTTGGCCACTTTGAATTTTATATTTATATCCTTTTCTTCCAGTTAATTCAAAACTGTTGAAAATTTTGCATTGTTGGATAATGTGCAACACATAAAAGAGACTGATTCCAGAAACCTTGTACATAATAATGCACTTTTCCTTTTGCAAGACACATTAGGCCTTTATCAGAAAGATAAGAAATAAATTTCTGTTGCTTAAGAATATTTATATTAAGAATGCTTAATTAAAATCTATTTAAGTAGCAGCAATGAAATTTTAGGTACGATTCCACTATCAGGACCGTAAAAACAGCCAAATGATGCCAAATTATGGTAACCCTATTGCAAGGAAGAAAGCATAAGAGAAAATATTTATTTAAGAATAATATTTCAATTTAGATGAAAGGTTAATTTCATATACTACATTTTTTATTACAAACAAACAAAACAAAAAAGAGAGAGTGAGAGAAAGAAAAAGAGGCTTAATCATAATTGAAATTAAATGGGAGGCATACATTTATTTTATCTCTTCCAACACTGCTGAGAAAAGTTCATTTCTTTTATCTCTCTCTCTGTGTGTAAACACCTGCACATAAATTCAGAAAATTAAGAATCCAGATGCTGTGGAGCAGTGCCTCGATAGCATTTATTATGCCATTTAGTACCATTGCTTTGTGGTTTGTATATGTTACTCACTTTTGGGATCCATGAAATTGTATTTGTGGCTGTTTGTAAAATGTTGAAAGACGACATCTCAGAATCCATCCTATTTATATACTTTCTAGCAATCAGTATAAATTAATGCTTCCTTCTGTGATATTTTCTTTTATAACATAATACAAAGTTTTCACTGATCAGTTTGGAACAGCAACTAAAAATATTCATTTGATTCTCTGCATAATCCACCTAAAGCCCACTGTGATGGAAAAACATGCACAAAGTTGTCCATTCCAAAATCGCCTTTCTACTACTTCAATAATGTTGTCACAGCCACTGATTTTCAATGTCAGGCAAACAATTAAAGTTGTGGCAGACATTTTACGAATGTAATTGTTCCAGTCTACAATTGTAGTGTGGTTCATATTCAGTTGGAGTTCACAAAATTCTATAAAACGTCATCTACTGATACCAAAAATAGATGAACCTTATGTCTGTAGGGAAGGAGATTTTCAATTCTTCAAATCAATTTAATCCTTTCTTTTCACTACAGGATTCTTTCCTGCATTTTGCTATTCAGTTATCGATAAAACATATTTTCATCTTGTGATTCTTCAAGCATAATTTTCTGTGATGAATGATGCCTTTTAATTGAAAAAAAAAAATTATCGCAAACATTCCGCACTTGAGCAATTTCCAAATAGTTAGCTCTATAGTGTTATAAAAAAATAAAAGTATTTCAATGATGATTTAAAAGTCTACAACAAAAAAGAACGCACAGCTTGTGATTAAATGAGAGCATTTTTTAGATTTGGCACTTTAGGCTGCAGTTTTGTATGGTTTCCTACAAGTTATATTACAAAATTTTATAATATTAAATACTTACTTTTTCTGCAGTCTTCACCAGTGAGATTGAATGGACATTTGCAATAAAAATCATTGGTTAAGTCAATACAAGTAGCAATAGTAGGACAAGAATTTGGTGTGCAATCTGGTATATCTTCTTCGCAATATTTTCCAGTAAACCCAGATGGACAATTGCATACAAATGTATCTTCTACATTCACACAGGTAGCACCATTTTCACAAACATTATCATCACATGGGTTATATTCATATTCACAACCGATGCCTGTATACTCTGCAGGGCAGGAGCAATTCAAACCACTACCATAATCTAAGCAAAGACCTTCATGCATGCAAGGGTTTCCAATGCATCGCTGCGGTGATGTTTGGCATTTTTTACCATCAGTACCAGAAGGACATCTGTAATAAACAGAAATAACTAGTGTAAAATGAAGTAAAATAATAACATAAAATATAAACAAAAATATAAAAAGCATTGCATTTACTATGGTAATAAATATGACATATACACTATAGAAGATAACTAGAGTGTCTGTGATGTGCACATTTAAATTCAACAAAAGAAGTAAATCAAGAAATGATAACCTGGCTCTACATACAGTTAGCAACTATAAGGAGATGCTTGACTGCTAACTGTATGTAGAGCTTTTAAATGATCAAATGTTTTTGCCATAAAACATATTTAGATACTAGTCTGTTTTATTATTTACGTTATAAATATATTATAAATTACTACTGATTAGTTTATTATTTATATTATAAAATTTTATTATAATATAAATAATAAACTAATCAGTTTATTATTTATAAACTAATCAACTATTATTTATATTATAAATAATATACAGATATATTGTTTTTATAAATTATGACTAGTTTCTTTTAGTTTCTTATTATTTATATAAATTAGTCTAGTTCCTTTTTCGTTTCTTTTTCGAAGTATGCTATTCGTGTCGGGGAGTTTCTGTAGACAAGGGTTTCTAAAAGCATTGGTTTTAAATTAATTTTGAAAATTTATTTTTTTTAAATTTAATTTATTACTAAAACTTTACATTGCTTATTTTCAAAATACTTAATATTGGTATTTTCCTTTAGACCTTTAATTTTAATTGCTAATTTCTCAGGTACCATTTTATTGGTATCTTTTTGGACATTCTTCACTATGTATTTACTTTTGGTTTTGACTTTTATCCTTGGCCTGCATGAATGACAAAACACGAATTGAATGATTGAGAGTAGATATGGAGGCACTTCCCCCCCCCCGATAAGTCTTTCTCCTGCCTGCTCAACAGTCATTCATTATGATTTTAAAAAAATTTTAGATTAAATTTAATTTGTAAAATTTGTGTTTTCTTTTCATTGTTTGGTTTTGCACTTGATTTCTATGCTATCTAATTTAAATGATATTGTAGATTAGTTCGAAATAAATTTTTAATTTTTTAAATATTATTTTTTAAACTTTTTTAAATTTGCTTTTTACGTTTCATGTTTGTAAAATTAAAATTGTATTTAAATTCATTTATTCTTTGAAACAATTTGTAATATTTTTTAATCTTTCCAACCTTATAATATTATGACATGCACAGTTTTTGGATCATCTAAGACAATTCTGATACAAGTGTAAACAGGCAAACAAAGGATATAAGCTTAGATATTATAAATGTAACTTTCTTCTCTGTGATGTACTAAGCAATATTCCTCCCCCCTTCATTTACTCAATGTAAGAATACAGTATAGTATCTAATATATATACATAATTACAAAACACTTTTTTAAAGAGAATATAATCATGCCTATTAATTTTGCACATTAAGCATCTGAAAAATTATCAGTAAAGTCATAAAGTAAGAAATTTAGAACCAGTTTTTCACACATACCAAAAATTAAAATTTTTTGGTCTATGTGAAAAATTGGCTCTAAATTTCTCACTGTATATCTTTACTTATATATGTATATATATGTATATATATATATATATATATATATAAATAATTATTTCCTAAACAGTATGATTAATTGATTATGTATTCCACTAAATGGATTTAAGTTATACAAATATATTATATATATATATAAAACATATAAAACATGAAAATTATCTTATGATTAAGGCTTGTGGTGAACAGCAAGTTTTCATCAATACTTAAGTTTTGGGAAAGCCAAAAGTTATTCTGGATTTTTAAGAGCAGAATAAATTGATCTTTACTGCTTACAGATATGGCATTTATTAATTAGTAAACTTGATGTTCACCCACAGAAAAATTCACATGTAATTGCAAAAGGAAAATATAAATAAATTAAAATACAACTTTGCAGTGAGGAAATCAATATTAACATAATGCATTAGATTTTTATTTTTTGGAAATTATCCAAATTAAAAGAAAAATACATTAAGAGAAAAAATTAAATACTTCTGTGAAATTCAAATTCATTAGTAAAGAAAAAAGCAATTAATTTATTACTCAACAGGACAGAGTGCTGGGAGTATATTAACTCATTTAATTGATTGGTTAATTGGTTTTAAATGTATTTAGCTAAGTACTTCTATTATAAGGATACATAAAAATTTGGTTAAAAATCATGTTACAAAATATTACTAAATGGGGGGGGGAATCAATAAGTAAATTAGTATATTAACTTTTAAATACTCCTACAGTCTTACAGTTTAACATGAATGCAAATGAATAGTCAATTCCATTTATATTAAACTTGTTTAAATAATACTTACACACAAAAATAATCTTGGAAAAGATCAAGACATTTTGCATTATTAAGGCATGGCTCTCTGGCACAGCTCCCACTGTCAATTTCACATCGCTCTCCCATCCAGCCACTAGGGCACTGACAGATAAATGCATTTATACTATCTGTACAAGAACCTCCATTCATGCAAGGATCTGAAGCACATTCATCAATATTCACCTGAAAAAAAAAAAAAAAAAAGTGATAAAGTTTAAGAAACCTTCTTACACTGTAATTTATGGTAAAATATAGATTAATTAATTTACCAAGCAAAACCATGCACAATTTATGAAATGAGTTTTTCTGAGAATAAATAATCATAAAGTTAAGAACTCTGTATAAAGCTACATGTTAAGATTTAGTAACTTATCCTATTGATTAAAGGGAGCCCCCCTTGCTGCTGCTGTTGCTGTTTACTTGATTATGGCAAAACACATAAGGATCATCTGCTTAAACAGAGAATACCTTCACTGCAAGCTTTCTATGGAACACTTGCTCATATTTATGGTACACAAAGAAACCACAAAAAATGCCAAGACATTTTATTTGTTCAGCTTCAGAACCAGATCAAATTACTACTATCATGCTATATTGCTCACTTAGCAAATGTTAAGGTACTGAGTATAGGAGGGTTCAATAAATACAAAATTTAATTCTTGTATGGCCTCCATAAAGCAAGAATTCCAATTATTAAAACATCCATTACCATTTAATACGCTTAAGACTAAATATTTCATTAATTCCTCCATAAAATTTATATCCGTAATTAATAGTTTTATACGATCTTTCACAAATGCCATTTTACCTGGCATGAACAGTGCCGCCCTAACCACAGGGCTAAATGGGCTATAGCCCCAGGACGCAAGCCTTTTGAGGCGGCAATTTTTTATTTGCGATATAGTAAAATTTATTTTCATTTTATTAGTTTTTAATTTATTTTAAATTAAAACACTTCTTAAAATATTAAACTGATTTTATTTCTTCCAAATGTGCTGAAAACGATAGATAGAAGGGCACGTGAAAGGAGTAACACCCTACCGATCGTACTTTTGTTTCAGTCGCATTGAACTGTCGGAGCTGTTACTGGAGTTATATAAGACCACCATCGTATAATCACCGCGTCGCCAGGCATATTCATTTATCTAAAGTAAATTGCATATTTAACAATCCTGATAAAAGATAGTAAAAAAGGGTCACTGATGGTACCTTATATAGATTGCACGACAAAAGTAAAATTATATAATTTTATATTTTCGACTGAATAAGGTGAATTAAAAAATGAAATTAAGTGGAAATGATTAAATTATTTATTATCTTCTAAGTAAGTGCTTCTTTTACATACACTGTGGACAAAAAAAAGCAAATAAAAAAAATGGCATAGAAGATAATATTTATTATTTAAAAGGTTTTTTTCTCAATAATTGGTGTTT